GCAGTAAGGACCCTTCTCACTCTTCAGGCAGTATATCAACCACCCTTTAAGTAGGGTTGTTCATCAATTGATCCAAACTAATCCAAATCACAGTGACTGAACCAAAAAATTGATAACCGAATTAACTAAAAATCGAAAAACCATAAAAAACAAAAAAACCTGCATATTTTAATTGGATTGTATCATTTTTCGGTTTGGTTGGAGAAAACCTATCCAATGTATTATGTATTTATTATTTTTGAAAGATGGTGACCTGGAATCTTATTGTTGTGTAAACTTGTAATCTTAGATGTTATTAATAGCAAACTATCTTGTTTTAGTTTTTTTATTATCTATTAATCTATTTTAACTTTTTATGAATTTTAAGACTTGTTTTAGTTTGAAGACTTGAATTTTTTAGTGGTTTGTAACACTTTATTTTGAATAGCTAGTGATTTGTATTACTGAAATTTTAGCTTTTTCGAAAAACCAAAAATCGATCCAATCTAAACCGAATAGGATTGGATTGGATTTTAAAAAAAATCCAAACCGAAGGAATTGAATCGGATAATTTTGTTTCAAGACCGATCCAATCTAAATCGCAAACACTCCTACCCTCAAGCATGATGTACCACGTTTTGACGGCCCGTTGGGATGGAGTTTTAAGATCTCCTTGAATTTTTGAGTTTCCTAGTACGTAGGAGGATCAATGGACACAAATTTCATCTTTTATATATGGAGGTGGAAGCCCTTGACTCGTTCTAATAATAAGTACCACCCCTTTTCCATCTAAGCTGCGGCATCTCTGGGTTAAAGCTAGACATTCATTGAGTTCCAAGGGCGAATTAGGAACTCCTAACTTATCTATTCTGGTGGATAGTGGGAGTGTACCCACAATTTCATTCATGCTAGAATTGCTAATTATTTGGGTCTTTCAGTTCACCTAACCCAAGGTTTCTAGGTTTTGGTAAGAAATGAAGAAGAGTGGGCCTACACCTCTATGTTTAAACAGTTGCCTTTGTCAATTGGAAACCAAAGGTTCTTAGTGGACCTTTATCTCCTGCTCATTGGATCTGACCTCGTGCTTGAGGTCTAGTGGCTTAAAACCTTGGTCCCAATACTTACAAACTATGAGAACCTCACAATGAAGTTCATCAGGGAGGGCAACATGGTGCAACTGATTGGAACCCGACCCAAGTCGATCTAAGAATTCTCTGTGGCCCAAATGCATAGAATGACATTTATGTTAGAAGACAAACCCAACTTCGGTTTAGTCCCTACCATCTTAGCTACGATTGAAAAAAAACTTGAAGCTTCACTACAAATAATAATTAGAAAGCTCCAAGACAATGTGATTTGTGCAAGCTATTATTAAGTTAAAGATAAGAATAATTTGGATAGTGGGGTGGCAAAAGAAAAGAAAGGGAGCTGGAAATAATTATATGTGGAACGTGGAATGCTGGACAATTATACTTGTATTATTATTAGATACTGTTGTGATTATTGTGAAAGTGGGACAACACTAGTCTGAGTAGGTAACATCTTTTGCATAGATGTGTGTAGTGGGTATTGTAATATATTTAAGTTAGGCAACAAAGTTGGCTATCCCAGCTATAAATTGGAACACTGCCGTGTCTAAAACATAGATTGTGAAGTGAGCGTGCTATTGTAATAGAAAAGAAGAAAAAACAAGAAAACAAGTATGTGTGTGTGTAAAAGTGCCGTAACACTTGTGAAAAGAAAACAATGAGTGAATTTGTGAGGAAGTCTTTAATATAATTGAAGTGTACTTTTTCTTTTGTGTTTCTTTGTTCTAAATTTTCAACAAGTGGTATCAGAGCTACGGTCGATTAAAGATGACAGTGATGTTTCAACCTCAAATTCCAAAATTGACAAAGTCAAATTAAGGAAACTGGAGCAATCACATGAAGACGCGTATGTGTTCATAAGATGTCTGTGAGGTAATTGAAACCAGATACTTGGAGCCTGTAGATGCAGCCGCTGAAGCAGCCATGACAGATGCACAAAGAAGGACAATTAAAGAAAACCGTAAGAAGGGTATATTTTTAATTTTTCAAGGTGTTGATGAATCAACCTTTGAAAAAATATTTGATGCAAAGTCATCCAAAGATGCACAGGAGATCTTGCAGAAATCCTGCCAAGGAGCTGACAAAGCCAAAAAAGTGCGACTCTAGTCACTTAGAGCCGAGTTTGAGAACTTGAAGATGTAAAGTGGAGAGCCAGTCACATATTATGTCCCACGAGTGCAAAAGGTGGCCAAGGAGATGAAAAGAAATGGAGAAGCTTTAGATGATGTCAGAATAATGGAGAAGATATACGCTCATTATCAAGAAGATTTGAATATATTGTCACTGCATTGAAGAAGCCAAAGACTTGTCAGTTATGTCTATTGACGAGCTTGTGGGTTCTCTTTAAGCTCGCGAGCAAAGAATAATGTTGAATGAAGGCTCTAGCGTTTGGAGCAAACTATGCATACCAAGTTGTCTCTTGATGAAAACCAAGCTAGGAACAGCTTTGTACCTATCAGAGGAAATCATGGAGGATTTAGAGGAAGCTTCAACACCCGAGGAGGATTCAACACTCGAGGTGGTCGTGGTGGATATGGCCAAACAAATAGAAGATTTCAGACCTATACAACAACATATGGACGTTGTCAAAGAGCATATAATTATGGCCGAGGACGTGGTTTCATGAACCGAGGAGGAGGAAGATTTCAATAAAGAGGTGATAAATCTCACTTGCAGTGTTATAATTGTAACAGATATGGTCATCTCAGCTATGAATGTAAATATGCTGCTAAAGTTTCGGAGAGAAGTAATTATTCCGCAAATGACAAAAAAGCTGATGAACCGGCCATGTTGTTCACTTACAAAGGCAATGAAGATAGTAGCAAGGATTTCTTGTACCTTGACACTGGAGCAAGCAATCATATGTGTGGCAAAAAGGAGTTATTCACGGAGCTAAATGAAGAAGTTCAAGGAGAAGTCACTTTTGGAGATCTATCAAAGGTTCCAGTCAAAGGCAAAGGAAAAATTATGTTTTTCACAAAAAATAGAGGTAATCCATATATCTCAGATGTCTATTATATTCCATCTTTGAAAAGCAATCTTCTCAGTATTGCCCAGCATATGGAGAAGTGATATGATATACACTTGAAAAACAACTCTCTTGTCATAAGAAATCAAAAGGGAGAGTTGATTGCGAAAGTTGATATGACAAGAAATCTCCTTTTCAAGCTAAATATCCAAACGCAAGCAATAAGATGCATGGACCATCATAAAAGATAGTTCGTGGTTATGGCACCTCAGATTTGGTCATCTTGGATTCACTGGCTTGAAACTGTTGTCAAAGGAAAAGATGGTGAGCGAATTACCACGAATAAATCATTTAGATCAATTGTGTGAAAGCTGCATGAAAGGAAAGTAGCACAGACAAAGTTTGAAGTTGGCAAGTCATGGAGAGCTAGAAGACCATTGCAGCTAGTTCACTCAGATATTGCTGGTCCATTTGACATTACATCACTTGGAGGAAACAAGTATTATATAATATTTATTGATGATTTTAACAGAAAAGCCTAGTTGTATATAATCAAAGAAAAATCACAAACTCTTGATAATTCAAAGAATTTAAAGCAATAGCGGAAAAGCAAAGCGGCCAATCTGAAGACGCTTAGAACAGATAGATGAGGTGAATATACTTCAAAATTATTTAATGAATTTTGCATACAACATGTAATAATTCATCAATTGACAGTTGCCTACGCTCCACAACAAAATGGCATTGCAGAAAGAAAGAATCGTACAATTCTTGATATGGCGATGAGCATGATAAAGAAAAAGCAACTGCCAATAATATTTTGGGCTGAAGTTGTTCAATATGCTGCCTATCTACTAAACTGGTGCCCAACAAAAAACGTAGAATTCAAGACTCCAAATAAAGCATGGAGTGACAAGAAACCAGAAGTAAGCCATCTAAGAATTTTTGGTTGCATACAATATGCCCACATTCCAGATTAAAGGAGAAATAAGCTAGATGATAAAGGGGAGAAATGCATTTTAACTGGCTACGACCTTAGATGTAAAGCATACAGACTCTACAATCCTCTAACCAAAAAAGGTGATCATTTCATGAGATGAGAGTTTGATGAAGCAGATTACTGGAGATGGAGTGATGAACAAAAGAAGGTGGAAGGCCTATTTTTTAAAGATGATAATGACTCAAAGGAGCAAATAGATGAAGAAGGAAATGATCAAACTCCTCCACCAAGTCCTATTCCAACAACTACACCATCAACATTAGGAAGCAGTAGCAGTAGCAACAATTCAGGGGGAGCACCAATAAAGATGATAAGCTTAAGTGATATCTATGATGCTACAGATTTGGTACAAACTACAATTGATTATTCATTATTTTGTTCAATGTCTGAATGTGATCTGGTGACATATGAAGAAGCGGTAGAAGTTGAAAAGTGGAAGAAAGCCATGAATGATGAAATTGCTGAAATCAAAAGAAATGACACGTGGGAGCTCACAACCATTCCTAAAGGTCATAAGCCAATTGGTGTAAAATGGGTGTATAAGACAAAGACCAATCAAGAAGGGAAGGTGGAGAAGTACAAGGAAAAATTGGTGGCTAAAGGTTACAAATAGAAATATGGAGTTGATTATGAAGAGGTGTTAGCACCAGTTGCAAGGATTGACACTATTAGACTTTTTACAGCAGAAGCAGCATAAAAGCAACGGAAGATATATTAGATGGATGTAAAGTCAGCTTTCCTCAACGGTTACTTGGAAGAAGAAGTCTACATTGAGTAACCACTAGGATATGTTATAAAGGGAGAAGAAGATAAAGTTTATCAGTTGAAGAAGGCATTATATGGATTGAAGCAAGCCCCGAGAGCCTAGAACACAAGAATAGATGAGTACTTTCAAAAAAGTAGTTTTGTGAAGAGCCCATATGAGCATGCTTTGTACACACAGAAAAATGAAGATGGAGATATAATGATTATATGCCTATATGTGGATGATATGATCTTTACTGGAAACAATCCAGGTATGTTTTGTGATTTCAAGAAAGCAATGACTAAAGAGTTTGAAATGACAAATATTGGAGAAATGTCTTACTTTCTTGGAGTAGAGGTAAAGCAAATGGAAGAAGGAATTTTTATGTCACAAAAGAAATATGCAGAAGAAATTTTGAGCAAGTTCAGAATGAAAGATTACAAGATGGTCTCCACATCAATAGAACCAAGAATGAATTTGAAAGCTGATTCAGATAAGGAGCTAATAAATCCTACACTTTTCAAGAGCCTGGTCGGAATCTTAAGGTATTTAACTTTTACTCGACCACATATTATGTTTGCAGTTGGCTTAGCTAGTAGATATATAGATCAACCAAGACAAAATCACTTCAGTGCAGCCAAGAGAATTTTGAGATACATCAAAGGAACTGTTCATCATGGATTGTTGTTTACACACTCTAAAGATTCAAAGTTATTTGGCTATTCAGATAGTGATTATGGTGGGGACACAGATGATCGAAGAAGCACATCAAGATACGCATTTCACTCTGGCTCAGCAATATTTTCATGGTCATCCAAGAAACAACAAATTGTTGCTCTTTCATCATGTGAAGCAGAATATATGTTCGCAGTAGCGTGCACATGTCAAGCAATATGGTTGAAGAATATTTTGAATGAGTTGCATCAAGAGCAAGAAGGTCCAATCACTGTAGACAAGAAGTCAGCAATATCACTTGCAAAGAATCCAGTCTTTCACAGCCATAGTAAGCATATTGAAACAAAGCATCATTTTATATGGGAGCAAGTTAAAAACAAAGTTGTGGAATTATTCTACTGCAGAACTGAAGAACAACTTGCAGATATTTTTACAAAGCCATTGAAGACAGATGTGCTCCACAAACTCAAAGATATGATTGGTATGCAAAGTCGAGTTTGAAGGGAAATGTTACAAGATAAACCCAACTTTGGTTTAGTCCTCACCGTCTTAACTATAATTGAAAGACAACTTGAAGCTTCAGTACAAATAATAATTAGAAAGCTCCAAGACAATTTGATTTATGCAAGCTTTTATTAAGTTAAAGAAAAGAATAATTTAGATGGTGGGGTGGCAAAAGAAAAGAAAGGGAGCTGGACATAATTATATGTGGAACGTGGGATGCTGGACAATTATACTTGTATTATTATTAGATAGTATTGTGATTATTGTGAAAGTGGGACAACACTAGTCTGAGTAGGTAACATCTTTTGTATAATTATGTGTAGTAGGTATTATAATATATTTATGTTAGGCAACAAAGTTGTCTATCCTAGCTATAAATTGGAACACTACCGTGTCTAAAAAATAGATTGTGAAACGAGTGTGCTATTGTAACAGAAAAGAAGAAAAAACAAGAAAACAAGTGTGCGTACGTGTGTGTAAAAGTGCCGTAGCACTTGTTAAAAGAAAACAGTGAGTGAATTTGTGAGGAAGTCTTTAATATAATTCAATGTTTTTTTTCTTTTGTGTTTTTTTGTTCTAAATTTCCAACAATTTATCCAATCTATTATTGAGTTGCCTTGCATCAACGCAAGCCTTGTCCAACTCACCCACATCTCCAACAATCAAAACCCTACCCCCTCTTGTAACGGTGCTATTGTAGTGTTTTGTCAAGTTGTTCAAACAACCAACCCAACATCCTCCAACTCGCATTACTGATTATCATATTAATTTAGATGAAGGGTCAAACCCAGCAAATGCGCCTCCTTACCAATATCTCTATTTTCAAAACTCATTTTCGAAATGCTTGTAGAAGGAATAGCCAAAGAGTAGTACGAGGCTTTTCTCTTCACCAATGCTCATGGTACACAAGAAATATGAATTCTGGAGATTTTGCACCGACTATAGAGCATTAATCATGCGGTGGAATTAGCCATACAAAAGGCCTCGCCCTCTCCAAACAAGATCACTAAATTGGAAGGACACAAACAAACCACATAATGCATGTTATGTAAAAACAATTGTATATATATTGGAAAAAAGGCGTGTCATTCAAAATGACACACCTTGTGTCCTTTCACTCTCACAAAGAAGTGGGACCCACACTTTTAAAACTTTTCCCTCCCACTTTCTCCACCATGATCTATCTCTTTCTCTCACTTAAAATGACACAACTTTGTATCCTTTAAAATAATGTACATTTTTCCCCTATATATTTGCATAAAATGATATTTTCTTTTTACATTGTTTAATAAGTTTGATATCGCATGCAGTTGTACTTGTAAACATAGTTAAATTTATTATTATATGTTAACATATCATTAGATATAAACATAAAACTTTTTTATATTAATACTTTAAAATTTAATATATGTTAGAGAAGTATATAAACCATTTATAAGTGTTGGCCTTGCTAACATTTATGTAAGAAATGCGCAAGTATACACAACCACAAGTAATATAGGGCCTTTGAGTCCCAGTTATCATTCCCACAAGGATCTTGGCAATGTGAATTAATTGAAAAATTGTGAATACAAAACTGAATAAAAATAAAAATTATCCATAGGAGGAACAAAAAAAAGAAAAGTAACAGAATTGTGAACTATAAATTTTCTTGGATTTTTCTAAGTTACTTTTGAACTTTGGATTTGTGTGTAAGAAAAATAAAATGATAAATTCAATTTAAAATTCTTTTTGGCTTTCTGGAATAAAATGCATATATATATTTTTTTTTTCTTTTTTTAAACTGCAGTAAGGAAAATTCTTAGAGAATTAAAATCAGAAATGGCAAGAGATAAAAATGGGTCAAAATCATTGTTGTTAAAACGCCGTTCTAACTTGTAGAAACGTCCGTTTTTATGTTTTTTGGGCCAAAAACGCTTCAGAACGGTGGTAGAAACGGAAATGGGGTAGAAATGGTTGAGACGCCGAGTTGACTCGGTAAACTCGACGAGTTTACCAAGTTGACTAACTGAAAAAAAAAAAGAAACGGAGTGTATTTTGGGGTGATCTCCCCCAACTCAAAAGTGTTATGCAGAGGGTGGTGGTTGGCGTTTTGAGGTGGTTCAAGGTGGTGCCTGCGGTGGCAGAAGAGGTGAAGCGCAAACTTCATTACCTTCAGCATTTCACAAATGGAAGGTGGGTTCCCTGTGAGGATCAAGGAAAGGCTTGCTTGAAGGTAGAAAAACAATGAATGATATGAATAGATTATGATCTTAACCATTGACTCTTTTAGAAGGGAATGGATGGTTGTCATTTGTTTGTAGTTGTGGCAACATGTGGATCGGTGACCTGGTGTGTGGAGGAGTAGGGAGTGTTCAATGACAATCGTTGATCTTATAATGATGGAAGGTTGAGATTGAATTAAATGGGGTGACACAGATTCATGAATTCTCGCGCGGGAGAGTCAAAAGAAAGAAAATTTTGATTTTTGGCTGTTTTCTGAAAATGGGAGCTCAAGAGTCAAATGCCAAAAAATTGGGCTTTGGTTTAAACCCGTTTCCCAAAACCTCAAATACTTGAACACAGATCTTTCACTCGTTTGTAGGTGAAATAGATAAAAACATTAACTTAATAAACAATTCTAATAAATAAACAATTCTAATTTTTTCAAGCCCATCATTCTAATAATCTTCTTGATTATTAAATAAAAATATTAAGCATTAAAATGTTTTTAAAATACTAAAACAATTATTTTCTTTGGACTTAAATTTGTGATGACTTGTAACAAAAAAAATAAAAATTGTGATGACTTATGTATTGGTGTGTTTTGATTTTATATATATTGGATATTTTTTTTTTGTATGTAGTAAAATCTTACGTTTCGTTTACGTTTTAAGATTTTACGTTTTTGCTCACCTCTACCGTTTCTACGTAGACTCTACGTTTTAACAACATTGGTCAAAATATTTAAAAAAAAATTAGGTTGAGCTTTCGGTTTACCCTTCCCATAACATTGAAAGAAATGCTAATTACAGATTGCTTAATTTTAATTCTCATTTAACAGATCACTCTTGTTGATTTTAATCTCTTAAAATTATTTTATCAACAACCTTCATTCACACATCTCTGTGCTAAATGCAGTAAGGACTCTTGAATCACAAGTCCAGAGTTACATGGTAGGTTCCTTCATCTCTGAAGTGAAGCCTCTTGAATAATCTCTCATTCAAGTCCATGTGTTTAATGCATTTTCCAGAATCAGTCACCTCTTGATGACTTCTTCCTAATTATACATCTAACATCAGGCCTAAATGCAAAATGTTTAAACAACAAGCTTGGCATTAAACAACTGAAAATTAAAATTAAACTTCAACAATTAGCAAGCATTCAACACTGAGATTCGGGTAACCTAGACCCAACCTTCAAAGGTTTAGCTCATACCCATAAGGATGAAGCTCAAAACAGCAAAAAGAACAAAAAGAAATTACAACTAAAAAAGTAAAAATCAACAATGCAGAAGCTATAACCAAAGGGTAGCTCTGCCACAGTACCAGAAAAAAAAATTAAAAACTACTCAGGAAAATAAAATTGAAGAAAAGAATAAGACCAGAAAGAAGACGAAGAAGACACATTGTGTTAATTGCTCCATTTATAGTGCTCTTATTGCATACAAGAGCTCATCAAGCAGCCATCAGCCTCCACATGTGCTCCGATTCACAAATCATGTGACCCCACTTTGCACAAGCTTGTTTCTTCCTTACACCAGCACCTACGCGATCCACACTTGCGCTGAAATCACCCACAACCGTGTAACAACTTTTTGTACAAGATGACAGTTAGGATTTTTTTTTTTCTTTTGGGTTTTTGTAGAAAATGGTTTGGCTCAGGTCGTGGATTGGGCTAGAAAACCATGGAAAATGGTTTGATGTGGCTAGATGCTTCGATTAGGGAAGATGAAAAGGGGGCTAGGATTTGATAGCTTTCTGATTTGGGTTGAAATGAATTACCCACGATGGCTGTGCTCTTCAAACTATCCACTTTTTCTTCTTTTTACTCTTTTGCCCTTCTATGCATTGCTGAACTGGACTGTTCCTGATGGGCTTCTCTCAACCTTGAGCTTTGGGCTTTTATTTAGCTGAAATACAACAATAAAAGGTCCATCAACAATTTTCACCCAAGTGTGTTAAATTATAACTTAATTAGGTAAGGATATGTTATTTCAATTAAAATTTAGTTGACCCAATGATATTTAGAGTCTCTTTTCAGAGTCTTAACAATAAGCATTCACTTAATAGCTTAAGTTTTTGGGTTGAATTAGTTCTTTACATGGTATTAGAGCCTCGTGTCCCAAATTCAACCGCTCCCCATTTTCTTTGTGGAATTTCTTAGCACAGGAAGGTTGGGCCTGATGCATCATCCACATTTCAAGTCCAATGGGCTCTCTTGTGCGAGGGCTTATTAGAGATATATAAAACTATTAATGTATCCTCATCCAACAACTTAAGCTTTTGGATTGAATTTATTCTTTATATGGTATGAGAGACTTGTGTCCCAATTTCAATCCTCATCGCCCCCACTTTCTCTTACGGAATTTCTTAGCATAAGTAGGTGGACCTATGCATTATCCATCTTTCATGCTTAATAGATACTCGTGTAAGAGAACATATTAAAGTATAATATAAATCATTAAAGAGACCTAATATGTATCAATACATTAATCAGTTGAATAGAATAATAAAACAACAGTGCCATGCAGATTGATGAATCACGGGCCCGAAAATAATTTAGTTTAGGCATCTATATTCTTCCTATAAATAACTTTAGTATAAACGCTTGATTTCCCTTTCCTCTCCCACCCATAAATCTTTATTAACTTTGGATGAGAAACACGACAAATAACGGCCTATATAACCAGAAATTGTGTGACCCCAAAACAAAAACTGCAGAAATCAAGTTTGGCTCATATGGCTAACATCACCCAACACTTTTTAAGGCCCATTTGTCGTCACCATACAAGTGAAAAATACTGACGGATGCGTTGTGTATATCCACTGCAGGCCTTCCGTTTGGGCAGGCCCACTTGAAAAGTGTTTCGATGGATGCTCCATGACTGACAACAACTACTCGCTCCCCTGCAATTCATATTCATACACATAATATAACATTAGCCTAATGTTGCTGTTAGTGGAGAGACTTTGAAAAGGATACATTATACAACAAAGTTTTATTAGGATTATATATTTAAAAAAAAAAAAAAAAAAACTTGTTATGCCACCATTGCCTATATAAGAGATATCAGGTGTCTCACGACAAAGCAAGCTTACCTTGGTAAGTCATAGCAGTGAAATTATTGGAGGTACCAAAAGGATCTAAGACCAAATCAATAATGAGTTATTTAAAACATAATTTCCATATGTCATATGGAAGGAGGACTTTCTTTAGTAGCATACCTTTATGTTTTCTGCCAATTCTCAGCAATGCAGATGTGCAACGTTCAAACAGTTGAACTAGACTTTCTCCACCACCCTTCACATAATGGTATATGCAATTTTAAGGCGTTTATCATTATAATTATATATTCATAAAACATACATAGCCCAAGGACGTGAGAGGTAAATAATCTGCCTCTTCTTGACAAAGATTTAATTACTATATATCAATTCTCAAACATATTAGACAATTTGAGCATGCATAAAAACTAAGGTTCCACTAGAAATACGAAGCAAACACAACAAGATTTTCTGAAGTTCTGTGATGGTTCATTCTTAGCAGTTCAGAGTTCTCCAAATGGATGATGATCTAACTGATCTTAAAACGACCACAATTTTGACTTTGGAGTTCTCTAATGAAGCATCTCTTATTTCATATTTCCATATGCAGCCACATATATGCACTTGCAGTGAGCCATCACTATCAGTGACACTCAGCTTCCTATAAATTCTTTGGACATGTCCCACTGAACTTCCAAAGAATTTTCTACTTTTAGTTAGCATAACCAAAATACGCTCTTCAGCTCTTACTAGAATGTTATTACTTACTATCAAGGGATTTTATGCTTAACATTTTGGCCTCTACAGTACTTACTGGGAGTTCTTGATCTTCATTATTAGACATCAAAGCCTTGTAACCCACGGGATTAGTCTTTTCTATTTCGCCATAAATAAGGCCTTGAAGATTCCCCTTGTGTCTTTCCCGTAGGTCAAAATCCTTGACAACCTGGAGTTCCAATGAAAGGTAAATAATGTTAAGATATAGAATAGGTGCTTGATCAATCTTAATAAATCATAGTAGAATTTAAATAAACCAAAAAATTAATAATGTAAGTCAATTATGAAGGCAGATAAAGAAGGTAAAGCGCTAGAAGGGATATGCTTACAAATCTTTTAAAAGATGTGACCCCAACTATTCTATTAAAGAAAGAATTAAAACATTTTGTATCACCATCTAAGAAAAAAAGTTAACTTATCACTGTCTATTTGATAATCACAGAAACAGGAAGATTAGTTCATGCACAGCCAATGTGTAGTCCAACCCCAGGCAATGATAGACGGCAAGACTGTTAGAATACTAATAAACTAAAGGAGCCAAATGACTTCAAGCATTGAACATGTTGAAATGGAAATCATGATTAGGTTATTATCTATATGACAATTGAATCAATGAAATGCAACATGGAGAAGATTGACTTTTGATTCAAACCTCTAGGCCTCCACACATGGATGCAATTATCTGTGCTGTTTCAAAAGCTCGTTGCAAGTCAGAAGAATATACAGCAGAGATCTTCGGTTCCCTGGATAGTCTATCAGCCACCTCCATAGTACAATTTACAGGAATTAATGGGGTCAAGAAGGTATAAATAAAGATGTAATATAAGGCTCAACTCTTTGTTTGTGGAAAAGAAAAAAGAGAATGCAATAAACACAACTTACTGCAGCTGCTTGCAGTCTTCCAGCTTCATTTAATTCTATATCCACTTGTCCCTGTTTGCATATATAAGTATTAGCTGAAATTGAATATAATCAAGTCATGACAACTCAAAGAAACCACAAACATAAGAAATAATGCTTAAGAAAAAATATTATTAAATGAAAACACATAGGTGTATATTTCATATTGCTGTAGAAGGACAAGGAGATTAATTAGACTTAGAACTCATGAATTAATCATCATGATCATGTATAATTTTGTCCAAAGCAACAAAAAAATGATGTTTATTGTAAATTATATGCTAATTTTTCTATTTCAATGACTGTTGTTAGACTTTAATGGAATTAAGTCATCATTATATTCCATTCTTAAATGACAAGCAAAACATGGGGATGAACATGCCATTCTATCCAACAATCTGAACATGGAAAAACACTTCCACTTGTAAAGTTTTTCTTTGCATAAACTAATGATACAAGATTAGTAAATCAAAAAATAAAAAAAAATAAAAATCATATGCTTAAACATCCTATGAAGCACCGATACGCGTTTTCGATACGTTCTCGATGATACAGGATGTCAATTACCAAAGGATACGTGTCCGATACGCGTATCCGATACGTTGAAAAAAAAAATTAAGAAGTATCGGTGCTTCATAGTAAACATCAGCAGATTGAAAAAATCACCTGAACTCTTCTCTCAGCATTCCATGCTGTTTCACCATGACGCACCACAAAAATCTCAGCATAATCTGGGCAGGGATAGCTACAACCAGCACCATCTTACCAATTAGTTTGAGAATGAATAAGAAAAGTTGAATTAGAAATAGGAAGAGCAAATGAAAACTTGCAATTATCATCACTAAGAGCTCCATTCAATTGGCAAAAAAGTGTTGATATGAATGGATTATTTTATTTCCCATGTTCCATTTTTAGGTACAGAAATGCATAACAAGCATAATTAATATAGCAATATATAAAGAACACAAATGAAAAGTTGATGAAAGAAAAGGAATGAACCTAGAAAGGGAATCATCGTTGATGGAAGACTCGGCCATTAATTTTAAGTGAGTGAGTGGAATGAAGAAGGAAGAGAAGAGATAGTTCGGAGCACGACACGAGGAAAAAGAATGAGGTACAAATGTAAACGTTAAAGTTGTTGTTTAAGCTCCATGTTTTCATTTCCTCGGTGCTTCGTTTTCTTTTTGTATATATTAGCCTTCAACACGTTACAACAATATTAATATATATTTTTTGGGATACAAATGTTCCGCGTGTCTCAACGATCTATAATTAGAACAGTTGGATGATATTGTTTATATTGTTTCTTTAATGACCATTGGATGAAAAGTATTTATTTTTTCTTGACCAAGTTGACTTATTAATTATTCTAGTCTCATTTTCTAACATTATAATTGAATTCGAATCTTCTACAGTTTTGGAAATGTTGCATACAATATTAACCCTTGATTTTTTTATTTTTTGTTTTGTTTTATAACAAACAATTGTAAACACAACTCGAAACTTGTAAATAGTTGGATTCAAAACGATATGTAATTACATATATTTTTTAAGGTATCATCCTGCCAAAATCTCTCCCAACAAAGTTGTTCGGAGATAGAGATGTCCAGCCAATAGACTGGTATGTTGATCTTGGATCTAGTGCTCTCTCCAAGATATCTATGAAAGAGATACCCTTGAGCCAAGCAGATCACTGTGTACAACGAACTAATAATGACTTTTGTCAATGGAGTGTGTGTGCGCACAGTGAGAGCATAACAGTAACAGAGAGAGAGCCTAATGTATCTTTATGGTTTACCTTTTATTTATAGAGGTTACCTGTGGGTAACATGATGTGGACCTTTAGTACCTCTGATGAGGGCCTAGACCTGTCTGCTACGCTGTCGTATTAGGATTAGTATCATTGATGGATACTATCCATAATTACAGTTGAATCTTGGATTGCCCCATATTGGGCCTGTCATTCAATGAGCCCCTTATACGGATCCATAACAGTTTCCCCTCAGCCAAGCTACCTGGGTGTCCGGGTTGTCGAGGTAAATTTCTTTGTATTTTTCTTCAGGTTTTCTGCTGAGCTAAAAATGTTTGAGTTTTTGTAAACATTTTGCATACATGTTCCTTGCATCTTAGGATTTTTCAACCGGGGTCCTCATTGCCCCTTATCTCGGTGGGTTGAGCATGAACCCGGGGAGATATCTTACGTATTCCCTATACCGAGTCAGGAATGAGCTTGAGCAGTTGGGATCCAACTGGCAAGTTTCCCCCAAGCATCATTTCTTATGCAAATGTTCTGTGCTTGTAGCCTTCTTCTGCAACCGGGAATGATTTCTCTCCATCCCATATGGGCAGGTTCTGCCTAAACTCGGCAATATACCTTACAAGTGTGGCCGAGTTAGAAATGAGCTTGAGTTGTTAGGATCCAACTGGCGAGTTGCCCCCAAGCATCATGCATGTAACTCAGCTAAAAGTTATTGTGTACACGTGTCTTGAATTTTACATGCTGACTTATCATCAGCAATCATTTCATTCTGACACGTGTTATTGGTCGTGTTTGATAGCGTGCTGCAGTCGTTTTGTGCCATTTCGCGTTTCGTCCGTATTAATTAAGAGTGTCGTTTCAGGCGTCTAATCATTTCTTTTTGAGTGCAATGACGATGGTTCCCCTGACTCTTGCCATCCATAACCACTGGGGTTACCATTCACGGGAGAAATAACATTGGTGCCCCTGACCCTTGCCATTCGTAACCGTTGCAGTTACAATTGTGCCTATATAAGCACGCATCTTTTCCCCTTTTCGTTCTTTACTTTGCTTATCCTTGAGAAGTTCTTGCCCTAGATTCTTTGAGTGTTAGCATCCATAAGTGCTTTTCTGCGTATTTCGCAAGTTCATCTTCACTCAGGTATTACCATTTTCTTTCAAACTTCCCTTATCTTCTTCTTGAATAATCTGCATTTGGCTGTCTGCATTTCAGACATTTGTCGTTTCTATTTGGAGTTTGTTTTTCTTGAAACCTTATTCTGGCAAACAGTTTGATGGTTGATTTTTTTTTTTTTGTGCCAATGCTCTGTGTTTCTAGAGTGTTGCATATTGCTTCACTTCCGGCATTTTAGTGTGCATCACCCTCTATTCGTCGTTTTTCCTTTGTTTCTTTAAATCTTAGTGTCGTTTGGAACTTTGATAAAATGAGGGGGAGAAAACCTCATTCTTCAGTTCTGCATTATGAGGGGAAGAATGAGGAAGATTTTGACTTTTTGAAAAGATTCTCCCTGGTATTCGTTTCTGGCTGTGGGGGATTCCAAGAACTGAGGAAGAAGAACGTGAAGCTATGCTTCGTGGTTATCACGGTGGTAGATCCCAAAGGAGATCCGGGTTATCCAGTAGAGGATTAGGGCAGAGTCATGGTAGTGGTTCATCCACCCAGGGTAGGAGTCGCCTTTCTGTGAGCAGACGTATTCCCCAGCATTTTCCCCAATCCGGTTCTAAGCCCTCCAGTAGTTCACCTATAACAAACCCTGGTCTTCCTTTAGTCAACCGGGATATCCCACAATCTTCCTATATCCAAAAAACTGGTCCTTGTTATTCTTGCGTCTTTCTGAGTTCCAAACTCATTGAACAAGGATGTAACTCTTTAGCCGAGTCTACATTGGCTAGCTGCCGGCATGGAGATGTTCCGGGATCTACCTCTGCATCTGGTGAGGCAGATGACCCAATCACCATTTCGGATAAGTCGACTTCTTCGTCTTCTAGTGATTCTTCATTTAGTAGCATTTTTTATTCAGGTATGCCCATCCTGCCCTTCTGACTCAGTTCTTTTATTGTTTTAGGTATTTATGGCATCTCCCCCCGGAGGTTGTAGAGGAGTCAGGTTCTGCCGAGTCGTATTTTGAGTCTCATTCAGCCTCCTTAGTATCCAAGTTTCTCTGGGTAACTTATGAAGTTTTAAACACCACGTCCAAGATGAGTACGGACGATGTGGCCGGTCTCCCCGTTGGGAAGCTAGAAAACTTTGATATAGCTCCTCCACTTGAAGACGAACCAGTTTGTCTGGGAGAAGTTCTGATGAACATCTTCTTATTTTACCGAGATGTTGTGACTCAACTCGGTATCAAGTTTCCTTTCACCGAGTTCCAGATGGACATCTTAAATCATCTTCACATAGCTCCCAGTCAACTTCACCCCAATGCTTGGGGTTTTGTTAAGGCTTTTGAGCGTTTTTGTGCATATATACCTCGCTCTTCCACTTTCTGTCTGTGTTTTCTTTTATTTCTTTCAAGCTCTTACTCCTCGAATTAGCCGTGAACCGCTAGAACGAAAGGGTTGGGTTACCTTCTGGGGTGTCCTTGGTCGTAAACTTTTTCATGTTTACATTGAGTCTTTCAAAAACTTCAAAGAGAAGTTTTTCAAGGTTTCCGCACATCCCGGTAAGGAAGTGTGGTTCCTGAACGGTTGTGCTTCTGAGGATGTAGAGGAAAAATTTCCCCTATACTGGTCATCTGACCATTATCAATTCTCCTCTTCAAGCTATCATTTTAAAGAGTCCGAGTTGAACCCCACTGATGTCAATAGCGTGATTGTCATGCGTGCATATAACGGTTCACGTACTCATATTAGCATTCCCTCCCTTCTTTACAAGTCCCAAGAAGAACTTGATGCTGAAATAAGTATGGCTTGTTTTTATACTTATATGCATATTTGTTATACTGCATCTTATGACTATCTTTATTGATTTTAATTTTGCAGTTTCCGATATGGAAAACCAACAACAAGACCAGCAGGATGACCAACCAAGCTTCTTTGAAGCCCTAAGTCGAGGTAAAAAAGACGCTACTGTCGACTTGACAGGAAAGAAAAGGAAAGCTCCTGAGGACAAGACCAAGAAACCTCCTGCAGCCGCTGCCGAGAAAGCCAAGGGAATCCCGGCTGACAAGGCAAAGGTCACTCCTGCTGACAAAGGTGCCCCCACCTCCTCTCAAGCCGTGGTGAAGTCTATTATGCCTCCACCATCCTCTGGTATTGCCAAGCATGCTTTTGTGACAATCCGGGATAACTGGTGCTCTCTGAGATGTTGTTTGCCCCCCTAAAATATTCTTCAACTCATCTCCTTTTACTACTACTCAGATAAGGGAGTTGGAAGAGATGAAACTCAACTGTATGAAGATGTCCACCATGGTGAGACCTCTTCTTTCTCTGAAGAGTAAGTACCTTCATACTTTAAATGAGGTAAACACATCCCGGGAGGAGAGGGTGAAAACTGTTACTGAGACCCCAGCTGCACAAGTGAACATTCCTGCCAACCCTGTTGTTTGAAGGACCGGGATGCCAGTTTAGCTTGTATTTTTCCTTTGTGTTGGGGCTTTAGAGCCCCTTTTTAATTTGTCATGAATATTGCCAGTTATATCCCGGTTTAATTTCTTAACTTCTTTGAAGTTCTTTCTTTTGCATTACGATTTCATGCTTTGCCTTTTTATTTTGACATTTTGCATTTCATATCCCTTTAATAACTTAGATAAATTTGCCTAAGTATTTAAGGTTCATCTTCTTTCTGGGTTGCCTGAAGTATTTATTAAATACTTTTCTAGACATAGCATAAACAGATTTGCATATCCATTATCTAGGTTTATAACTTAGACAATTTTCCAAGTTTTCTTAAACCTTATTCGTGTTGCTCCCCATCCAAGATGGTTTATTCTTAACAACTCGAATATACTTTCATTTTTGCAACTCGTGTATTTTACGAGTGTTTGTATATTGACCTGGCCGAGGTCAAAAAACATTGAACGGATTTCGGTTTTCGTCATTTTCCATAACGCATGTTTGTTTTGACTCGATTATTTTGGTAAGTCAGCATTAATGATGGTAATTGTCTCTGTTGACTTAATTGTTTCATCATAACCCGAATTTTTTAACTTGGCTTTATCCAAGGTGAAAGCAGTATTATCACCTATCCCCCTTTGGCCTCTTGACCAAAGTAAGGAGTATTTCGACTTGATCAAAGTCAGCATGACAAATTGCGAATTAAAAATATAAAATACTTGAATTAAAAAAATATCAAATTTGAAGCTTTTTTTTAAGTTGCGAATTTTAGTAGTTTTTATTTTCAAGTAAGTAAATATAAATAAACGCTACAAAGTAACAAAAAGAGTAAACACATTTTTTGGTCCCTAACAAAAAAATACGGTCCCCACTTTAGTCCCTTACAAAAATAAATTAGTCAGTTAGTCCCTAACAAATTCAAAGTGAACCCATTTTAGTCCTTTTGAGGGACTAATATAGGTCTTTTTTGAATTTGTGAGGAACCACGATTTCAACTAAATGGGTCCACTTTAAATTTGTTAGGGACTAACTGACTAATTTATTTTTGTAAGGGACTAAAGTGGGGACCGTGTTTTTTGTTAGGGACCAAAAAGGGTATTTACTCTAACCAAAAATAACTCAAAAATTGCATTTTTTTTCCGGGAAAAATTCTCTCCCCCCCTTCCCCCAAAAAAAAAAATAATAATGAAAATAAAATCTTCAAAGTGATGCAAACTCCAACTAGCATTTAATTAAAAAAAAAAACTCAACTAGTAATCAGCATATAATTTTTTTTAGCTACGAAAAGTAAGCCAAACTTTTATTTCTCAAAGTTAATACCAGAATAATGCAAGTTAACTCTTAAAAGATTGCAATAACCATCGTCTAATCATGTAGTATTGCTCCTTAGCTAAAAAAGCACACTGGCAGACGGGACTCACTTAAATAGCATAACATATAGCCAACCAAGCCAAGTATTTACATACATACAGGACGAAGGGAACCGGTAAAAACTACATGCTTCATAGGTATCTCATGACAATCCTCTTAGGAAATCTCAAATGACAATGCGATTTCAAGATACGATTGTCGCCGCATTATATTTAACCACTCACAGCAACCCCAAAAAGAAACAACACATAGGAGAGGTACCACCTTAAATGGACACTAAGCAAAAGGTTTGAACAAAATATCCATCCAAGGCTTCAAGAAGTCAAACGAGGAAACATCAGAGAGTCATGTACAAAGAAGGTGAACTGGAAGAGAACCACAGAATTATTCTGGAGGCTGCAAAAGCAGAACTAGCTAAGGCAAAGGAAGAGCTAAATAGAGCTAAAGAGAGTGCCATGCAGTCCTGGCTTGACTCCAAGCCTCTCATAGATGAACTCGAAAAGCAGAACACCCAACTTGCTAATGCTCAACAAAGTTCAAATACATCAAAATCAGCAATTGCAGAGCTGGAATCCCAGCTAGAGATCATCCACAAGAGTATCAAATCCAAAAGAGCGGAGCAACTGAAGACAGAATTGATGATCCATGAAATGAATCATGATTTAGATCAAACACGGAATGACATCGAAAGGCTCAAACTCGACAGAAAGAAAGAAAAGCAAACACGGGCAAAACTAAGGCAAACCCTGCATCTAAGGAGGAAGACAGTTCAAACCTTGCAGCTCACCCTTCGAGCTGTACGACTTGAGTCAGATGCCGTGGAGGAATCTACCGCCAAAGCTCTTCAACAGATCAATCATTTAGAAAATCACACAGCTGTTATCCAGCTTAATCAGGAAGACTACTATGCCCTAACAAGAAGAGCTAAAGAAAAAATTTCACAAGCGAATTGGCGTGTTTCTATTTCCATGGAGCAAAAGCTTGCAGCTGAGGGTACCCATGAGTTAGCATTATCAAGATTGAGCAAGTTTGACTCCAGTAGATCATGGAGTATATACAGAAGAAACATAATGGGCCAAAGGAACACAGAAAGGGATGCAAAAAGCCAAGATGCAATTGTTGAAGTGGAGGTCACAACTAACAGAAAAAGTGCTTCACCCAAATCACACGCCAAATCATTAACCAAGATTGAAAAGGGAAAACTAGTACAGTCCAGAAGATCAGGAAGAAATATTAAAACAATTAAGGAAAAGTCATCCTTTTTGTACAAAATGAGAAAATGTCTTGTACAGAAGATAAGGAAATTGTGTATGACTTCTCATACTCTTAAATGAATCTATACAGTATAAAGCAACAATCAAGCTACAGAAAGTAATATGCCGTGTTTAAATTTTAATAAAACTGATAACACTTAAATCCAAATCAACCAAAGTTTTGTTTTACTGATGGTACTGTCTTGAGATCAACTTCCTGTAAGAAACACTAGTAATTAGACCAAATACTATTGGAGGATAAACAAAGAACATCAGGACAAACAAGTTGAGAATCTCATTCTGAGATATGTCTTCTATCTGCCAATCTCTTTTATCAAAAAAACACCAGTTAATAGTTGATGCTCAAAGAGTTCGACAGAAGCAAAATGTATGATGATATGAATATCTCGATCATGACTTTACAATCTAGAAAGCATAAATTGAAGAGCATAGACTATCAGCAAAGAAAAATCAGAAATTGACTCCGTAATCTGACATGCCCTAAATATCCTATTTTTCAGATCATACAGCCGCATGCACCATCTGCAAGAACTCTATTTGAACATTTTAGAATAAGCTTTTTTCTCTTGATCACGTCTATCAGCCACCTGTATCCAAAACCAGCAATCAGATTAAACATATTTCATTACAATGACCTAAATGGGATAGGAAAACAAAAGGTTGAATGACTGACCTTCTTCCTGGCAGCTGCAAACTCTTTTTTTATCCCTCCTATAGAACAGAGCAGGTGTGGGTTAAGCTTTACCAGAAGTACCACAGGTTAACTTCGCAACACCAATAAAATTTAAATATCCAAGAGTAATGGTCAAATGATTTGTTGGATCTTAATATATTTACTTCAGTTTCATATTGTAATACACCAAGGAAGATAATATTCTTAAAAATCAAACATTAATTCCATTCACCCTCATGAGATATTATTAATTTCCTTTCAAGAGATTTCAGATTTAAGTTATTGTAGAAAACATGATTTAGAGGAGTCATTTACCCAAACTCGAAATTTTAAGAACATTGAAAAGGGGATTAAAGACAAATAATGAAATGGAGTAATTTATTAGACAGAATGAATATTACGCTATTATCTTGTTTCAGCATTATGTCTTATCATGAATACTCTACTTTAACCCTGGTAAGCCAAAAGCATGGTCCTAAATGAGAAAAATCCCCTCACAATTTCATCAAGAACCCAAAATATTCACTCCTCAACAACACCCTCCCTCAGTAGGAAAAGAAAGTAATTGACTTAAGAAAAGCAATTTTTGAAAAGCATCCAAAAAAAAAAATTTCAAGGAATTCAAATAGCCACCTACCATCATTTGGCTCCAACTCTAATGCTTTCTTGAAGCTTTCAACAGCAGCATCTAGGTCGTTGAGTGCCATAAATGCCTGGAGTTAAGCAAACCAAAACACAAATAACAAATTAGCACATATAATACAAGACTATGGTTCTGCTTGCAAAGTCCATAAATCATATATCCCCTATGTAGTTTGGTGGTTAAAGGTATTAAACAATTCACATAAGCATACAGAATGAGGAAGCAAACACAGGCCTGAAACCTAATGGCATAGATCTAAATCAAAATTAGCATATGAGAAAACAGAATTATAGGAAGTGGGAAGCACTACATCAAATTTGAAGGTTCAATTACAGATTAAAATGGCATACAGATAGATCACACAATTTACTAGTGTAGCAACCTAAATTCATCATTATTCCCTTATTCTAGTTATTGGTTATTAAATTAGTTTATCTTTATGTTAGTTGTTTAAAATTAGTTACATTATCTTAACACTTACAAGTTGTTTCTAATTCAAATTAGGATTTTGATTGCATTTAGGATTTCAATTGTAATTGGTTGTATAACCACACTTTGTTAATAAATAACGGAGGAACAATCGTCAAAATGGAAGCAGAAGAAAATAATTCAAGTCTCTCCTCTAATGTCTCAATATCCTCTCTCCCTAATCTATCTGTCTCTGATCTCACTCTATCTTTCTAATTGAGTTCGTTACAACTAGCCAGTATCATGAACTTTCATCATCATCCTACTTTCTTCATTGGAAGATGTCAACCTGGCCTTTGCGAAACAGAGCTTTTGCATTATCTCCATCATGCATTGCAAAGTCACAATCCAGTAGCGCTCCTTTTAGATCCCCTAATTTCAATTTACAAGCCTGAAAATTCAAACCACGGGACTCAAGTCATCAGTTTAAGCAAACTGATTGAAAAAAATAAGATCACTACAGAGTATAAGTATATAAAATAAAACAGGCATTAAAAAACTAAAAGGCTTTCACGTTAATTCCTGCAGACCTAGTCATACAAGGGCAATAACTGATATGCTGTATCATGATTATATCCATTATCACTTTTCCTCCCTACTCTGTGTCTCGGCCTAATAGAGTAAGATTTTGTGTAGAACACACAAGTGTCTTTCATAAAATAATCACTCACAAGATGGGTCATTGAAATTGTGGATAAAGCAGATCTACGGTAACAAAGTAGGAACACCATTAAAAAATTGTAAAAAATGAGCCAGGCACATGTGCAATTCCAGTATTTTTTTTAAAGGAAAAAATGAGAATATGCATTAATTAATCATTCCAAGTTCCAATCTTGTGTCTTTCAGGCTGCTAAAGGTTACAAATGCTAATGGCCTGATGCTCAACTTAACAATCAACTATTGAAAGTCAGCTTATTATATCGGAATATACATCATTGATATTTCCTATAAATAAAATTATGTAAATGTCAGGATATAAAATCATTCTTCGGGCCTCCACCTAGTCAACTCAAGGTTTTAGCAGAGTTGGTCCTCGAAAATAAATAATGATGTTTGGTCTTAGTAATTGATGGCAGAATTATGCTCCAGTTCTTGTCACATAAAATGAAGGCATGTTACTTACAGAACTGTTGGTAAAGATCTGAGATTTTGTCTTCCTTAAAGCAGTGCTCTTCTCTGCAAAGTCAGAAAAAACAAAGAGATGAGATACCAAAGAAGCAAAGTAGTAACCAAGACAACAAACAAATCAAGACAGCTCAAGAGTAACAAACTAATCACTTGACCTTGGTCAATGTCATCCTTCTCCCAACATATATCCAAATAGCGCAAGGCTTTGCGATACTTTCTGAGAGCCATCTTATAATCTTGCTTCTGTTTTGTGGTAAACCATACGTCACCACACCACAAGGTTACTTTTAGAAGAATAAAGACTACCAAATACCAAAAAAAAAGAAAACATTATGCTTTATTGCAAACTATCACCTGATACTGTTCATTTCCAAGACTTTTGATAGAATCAACAGTACTCATCCACCAAGAAATTTCATCTGGTTTCACATCAAGGTCAGCTGGCCAATCAGGAAAAGTATCACCATCTTTAAACAAGTTACTGACTCCATCATCCTCCCCTTGGGGTATCTCCCCACAATCAACGACAACAACATCTTGCGCTGGGAAATCGTCCTCGACGGTAGCAACATGCTCAATGGAACGAACCACACCCATTCCCTTGATCACCTTACCAAACACCACGTGCTTCCCATCCAAATGAGGGGTTCGAGTAGTGGTGATGAAAAACTGAGAACCGTTGGTGTTGGGACCCGCATTCGCCATCGAAAGCATCCCTTTCCTCTCATGCTTCATCTCCAAATTCTCATCCTCAAACTTCAAGCCGTAAATGGATTCTCCTCCGGTCCCATTCCCCGCAGAGATATCCCCTCCTTGGATCATGAACCCTTTTACCACGCGATGAAAACACACTCCCTACATTCACAAACCAAAACGCTTCAACATCAAAATTAACAACAACATCAATATCATCATTATCTCAAACTCGTAAGCATAACGAGCGAGTTCTAAAATAGAGCTATATATATGAAATGAAGCAAACAAAAACGCTTCAACACTTGAAAACGATGTAAGAAAAGAAGAAGAAGAGGGACCTTGTAATGGAGGGGAACGCCAGTGTTGGGACCGATGCCTTTTTCGCCGGTGCAGAGAGCCCTGAAATTCTCAGCGGTTTTGGGAACGACGTCGTTGAAGAGCTCCACAACGATTCTACCCTCTAACTCTCCGCCAATGTTCACGTCCAAGAAGCATCTTGGGTTCACCATTTTCAGAAGCCAAATAAAGATTGAAAGAGACAGAGAGTGAGGTGAAGATGAAGCAGCGAACTTAACTCTAAAACCCTAATCCCGCTTATTAATTTCAAACTCCTCTGTTTTCGTGCAGCGACATTCACAATTCTTCTACGGTTAGCCACGCCACGTGTCGCTAATCCCGCCTTTTTTTTTCTTTTGTCTGGAAAACAAAAAACACAAAAACAAAAATTGATTTCATTCTTGGATATTCTCAGTATCAAATATCAACGATACTTCACTATTATTCTAATAAAAATATGATTGGATCTTCTTATGTGAAAATATTGTCATGTGATAATATTTTTTGATCACAACCATTTATTTATGATAAAATAAGAAAGAAAAGAGTGTATAATTTTTAAATAAGTGATTGTGATCAAATAATATGATCATTTATTCACATGAGAGGATCCACTCCTAATAAAAATACCATACCTCTTAAACTTTTTCTGTTCCTACTTAAAATTTACTAGTTTGTGTTATAATGATTGTTTGAAAATAGTGTTCACAGCTGTCGTTATTCGAGTTTGAATTATCTTAGTTAAATTTTCAATCGATGCAATCTTGTTTAGGAATTGTTGTTTTGTATAATTTGTTTATAAATTAAGTAGGTCACTTTATCATGTTTTAGATTTGAATAAGAGTAAATATCTTTTTTGGTCCTCAGCAAATTTCACAATGCCCGCTTTAGTCCCTAACAAATATAAAAGCTCATTGGGGTTCCTAAAAAATTCAAAATGAACCCATTTTAGTCCTTTTGAGGACTAATATGGATTTTTTTGAATTTGTGAGGGACCACGATTTCAACTAAATGGGTCCTTTTTGAATTTCTTAGGGATCACGATGGGCCTTTTTATTTGCTAAGGACTAAAGCGGGCATCGTGAAATTTACTGAGGACTAAAAAGGGTATTTACTCTTTGAATAATTTTAAGATAATAAATTTTTTTGAAAAAACATTTAATAAATTATTTCAAACCTAATGAGAATTAATATCTTAAAATGCAATTGCGAGTAGGGGTGTACAAAATAACCAAAAAATTGAATCGAACCATGAACCGAACCAAACAGCCCTTAAGATAACCGGTTTTTAAAAACCAGTTCATGAACCAAACCGATTTTTAAAGAACCAGTTCATGAACCGAACCGGATTTTAGAATTAGTTTAAGAACTGAACCATTTTGAACCGAACCGTTTCCGAACCATTTTCAAATCGAACCAAATTGATTTTTATAACTTTATTTTTTAAATTTTAAATTTTTTTCTTTTCAAAAGAGGGTCAACCCGAACCGATTCCGAACCGAACCGAACCACTTCTGAACCTTTAAACCAATTCGGTTCGGTTTTTTAAAAAATCTGGTTCGGTTCGACCCATGCACATCCTTAATTGCGAGAATTCTTTCTACTTTTATACCCAAATTTTCATGGCCTCTGTATTTGTCAGATTCATAATTTTGTCATCGGTCGTTCGGAGCGAATATACAGTGGTCCGGGAGTTAAAAAAAATAGGGTGGGACTGGGGTGAGAGAAAGAGAGAACAAGTTGAGGAGAGAGGAGAGAGGAGAGAAAAAACATTTAATACACGTGGCAATTTTTGAATGGAAGGACCATAGTGGTCCTGGAGTATATTAAAAAATTCTAGTCGTTAGGGTGTTATAGGTCGGGTCGAGCTGGGCTTTAATCTTGAAAGAAGATTAAGTCTGTATTTAAATGTATCAAACTGAACTAGCCTGTAACTTATTATGAATATAATTATCGGCATATGGCCTAACTTATTTACAAAAAAAAAGGTCTAGCTTAGTCTGTTAAAAAAAATAAGACAACAAAAATTTATTCAAACAAAATATACGATTAACAACACTAATAATTCTACAAAGATTCATAAATTTAATGTATATTCAAATAACAAATATAGAATAAAATCATTCAAAAAATATGCATAAACAATAAACTAAAGTAGTACAAAATTATTTTATGTCTTTATTTATTTGCTTTGTCTTTTATTCATTTTCATGTATGAAAAAAGTAGTACAAAATTCTGCATATCTAAAAGAATAAAAGAATACAAATTCTGTGTAAACAATTTAATATACGCATATCAACAATTTAATATATTACGGTGTTGCGTTATCTCCTCCTACATAAAAAAAACAAGTCAATTTATTTTTGACATTTAATTATAATATCATAAGATATAAATCAATTTAAATTAAGAAAATTAATACCTTTTGTTTAAATGATGAAGTGAAGTGAGGGAGAGAAAGTAAAACGATGATGGACCACGAAGAGGAAGTGAAATTAAATGAGTAGTTAAAAAAAAAAAAAAAAGAGCTAGTATGCCAGACCAGCCTGATATGCTCTAAGAGCAGGTTATTGAATTGGAGTCTGAGGTCTTTTAATTAAATGAGCTTTTACATAAGTCCAAGTATGTATCCAATAACCAAAATAGACGGGCCATGCCAGACTAAAGGCCCCTGAAAGGGCATTGGCTTTTTTAACACCCTTACCAGCCGTAAGCGTAGAATAAGCCAAAAGTTCACCAAAATAGAAAGGAGGTTTTGTATAAAAATTAAGAATAGTCCATGAGGTTACGATTTTGTGAAGTTATTACCAAAATGCCATGTTTTTTAGAGATTTTTTTTATCAAAATGTCTTGGATATAGTTTTGTTACTTGGCCCTGCGAAATATTTTTCATCATGTGTCGCAATGTTCAAATCTCGTTGCAAGACACAATTGGTCTTTGTCCTACTACTAGACGCAGTAGGTTTAGGACATGTTGCATTTGATAACAGGTTTTGGATGTTGTAAATTTAGCGAAATGGTAGTTGTCCCTTCTACTTAATAGACTAAATTTGTTGTCCCATCTAATTGGACTCACAAAGATGTTATCACGTAGCACAATCATGTCTGCCCAACCAAACCCCCACCCTTATCCCCTATATATACTCCTTCTTCCAACACAGTGGATAACTAACTAAATCACACATGTATACCTTTACCTATACAGTATAATTTTCTTTCAATTATAGTTATTGTTTTAACCACACATTCAAAAAATGAGTTCCAATCTTGAATCCTTAATGGTGGTTGTCTACCTCAATGGTAGAAAATAAGATGGTCCCGAAGATCTCATTTTCGAAAGAAGATCAAGAATGACATGCATTAATCCTCATTGTAGTTATAATGTTCTAAAGAAAATAATCCACAAGAAATTAGGGCTACACGAACAACCATATTGTTTCTCGATTGACAAATAGACATGACAATAGTGATGGCCAATGGCTTGGTGTGGAAAATGTTGACGATGAGATATGGCGAGCTCACAGATGCACTTTTAAGCTAGTCTCGTTGTCGTATGGTCTCATCATCCGCTATGTGTATTGGAAAATTAGCGTACGACATCAAATTGATCTAGGAAGACCTCATAATGCCTAACCTTCAACCAATATTGTGAAAATCGGCTCGGACCGGCCGGTTTGACCCGAAAATCGGTGAACCGATCACCTAACCGGTCTGAGTAACGTATTAGATCGGTTATGCAAGCCAACCGGGATAAACTGGTATGACCAAGCGATTTTCCTAAAAAAACCACAACTCGATAAATCCGGCAAAGACCATAAGAGAATAAACCGTCGTGTTCCAATCAAGTTAGCACACCACAATGTCATTCGAATATTTATAAAGAATCTATTTTTTATAAACTAAACGATGTGGTCTTAATAACTAACCTTTAAGCTTTGTCTTCCACAACAATGGCGGCGTGAAGCAAGCATGGAGAGAGAAAATTTGCAAATGGAACAAAGGCAAGACAATGCTTGACATTTTGTCTTGATGGTGTGAAGCAAACAAAGGCAAAAGCTTCAGATTTTCTCACAACTTTTCTTCACGTGACCTTCTTTCCTCCTTGTGTTTTTCTCTAACCTCAATTTCTAAGTCTCATTCCCTTCCTTCTTCACCATCTCTCTCAAACATTCTCTATTTCATCACGTTTCTTTCTGTTCTTTAATGGCAGGTGCAATCCATAGCACCGAACACCAAAAATTGAATCTTGAACCGAAGAATCAAGAACACCCAAGTAAAATCTATAACCATTTTCTCTACAAAGCTGCCATAGTTATCTTCTTCTTTGTTATTCTTCCGTCGTTTCCTTCACAAGCAACTGAATTCATCCACCAATCTATATTCACAAGAAACTGGGAACTCATTCACCTCATCCACCGACTACTTTTTTTTTATAAATTCTTGTTTCTTTTTCTTATATAATTGACTATAATATATATATTTTATAATATATTGTTACAATATTGTACTATTAGTATTTATTCAATTTAAAAACATAACTAAATAAATTGTTTTATTAGATTATAAATATAATTTTTTCTAACTGTAAATATAATATAATAAATGACATTAGATTATATTATCTTTTTTTAAAATTTTGAATATAAAATATAATTTATATTTATTTAACCGCTTTAAGCGGTTGAATCAGTGACCCACTGGTTGAACTAATGACCACTGACCCAGTACCTCGACCGGTTCGATCACCGATTCGAGTTTCATAACATTGCCTTTAACAATACTGGTGTAACGACGTGCATTTAGGACGCCTATCATAAACATTAAATCTTAAAAATAAAAAGTCAAATATAATGACTTGAATGTTAAATAATTTCAATATAATGCCAAACAAATATTTATACCTATATCTATACATATATGATCGGGTTCTAGTATATATGGGACCTCTAGTGAAATCCTTGGGAATCGAGTCCAAGCCTATAATCGGAGGAGCTTCCCACAACCTCTCATATCAATATGGTGAATATTGGTTAGCTTGGACATCTCTCTAAACATGTTCGTGAGCATCGTAGGCCCTAATTGTATAACTAATTATCCCAAATTTCTCAAGAAGCGTGAGAAATCTAATAGGGACAAAACTAGACAATGTCTATAATAACTCGAATAATTAAATTAAGTAATTATAAATTATTTAATAATTAAAAGAGATTGATTAGATGAAAAATCTAATTTCCAAGTTAAGTTACTTTTCAGGGTTAAAATGCAAATAGTGTAAGCTTTAAGGTAAAAACCCACAACCTCTCTTGAGTTTCATGAACACTTGATAACCTAGGGTTTGAGAAATTATGGTTTTTGTGATTTTTGATTGAAAGTTGAATTTAATGGTAATTTTATATGCATTGAATGTTGTAGTGTTGAATCTAGTGGAGTATTGGAGGAAGACTAACCATTGGAGCCTTCCTTTGGTCAAGGCATTGATTCTTGAATTTTTCAAGAATACGGTAAGTTGTTGAATTTGTGTTTTTGGTGAAATTCCAGCTATTAACGATGTTTTATGTATAATATGTGATATTGATTGAACCCACATCTTTGGAATAGGTTGGGATAGTGTGAAAAATTGGTGGTTTTGGTCTCTTGGATATTGAAAAAGTATTGGAAATAAAGTCTTCAAGAGGTAAACTCTTAGACATTGGGATTAGTCCTTCTTGATGTTCCAACATACTTCATTGGAGTAATGGTTATGTGATTGGATAGTGCATGATTGAATGGTTCCCTGGCTGGGAGAATGTTTGTGTAATTAAAACCTTGGAAGAGGATCTCGTAGGGACTTCTCTCAAGGTATGTGTGAACTTTCCTTGGAACCAGTTTAGTGGAGAAATTCTTTGTGGTTAAAACCTAAGAAGAAGAGCACGTAGGAACTTTTCTCTGAAATGCCATACGAGCATTCCCGATTTGGAAAGTTGGCCAATGGAGTAGCTTTAGTGTGATTGATGTCCATTTGTATGAAATATTACATGTTATAATTGTTTTAATACTTATACACCAAAAGTGAACTTAAGGGTGAAAGAATTCTCTAAGGACCTTTAGTTTACTGAGATTTTTATTTCACCCCATGCTGGGAAATAATTTCAGGACCTCAAAGAAGAAGAGGAGCAGTGTCAATAGAGGCAAGGAGCATACCTAGTATTTATGAGTATCGTGAAGACATGATGTATTTTGAGATGCTTTTAGTATAACCATGTATTTTGTATAAGCTTTAGTATTCATTTGAGTATAGGATTGTAATTATGGCATATGAAATTTCATAGAGTTTGAATATCACATTTTGTAATCCAATTGTTCAAAGGATATGTTTATAAGGTTTATGACATTGTACTTTGGAACTCAAGTATGGAATATATATATTATGATGCCATATTTGATAGTTTGTATACTTGGCCATATTTATATCTATGTGTAATGGGAAGCCAAATGCCATGTAAATATTGATTTTGATACATTGATATCAAGATAGATATTGTAGTGGGAATGTTGTAATTAGTTGATGCCACACTTAATGATTCCATGATTGAAAATGTATCTTATGTTAATGAATAGCTAGATGAATGTATGTTGCACGAAATATGTCTATTAGGTGATAAATGGTCTTGGAGGCATTCCTTAATAGCTAAATGCAGCTAGGAGCTGTAAGTTTTGGTATCCAAGGCTTGCTTGCTGACTTTACTCGCTCCAGCGAGCATTGTAGTGAGCAGAACATGGGGGAAAGTCACTCCCTGGACTTGCTTGATGTTGCAGCTCGCTTAAGCGAGCAAATTCGAGAACAACCTTGCTCACTATGGGTGTGCATGACAATCATTCTGTTTCCTGGCACTGTTTCTGAAAAGAAATAATTCTTTTCTCTTTTTGTGCCTTGGAACAGTTTCTTAGAAAAAATGTGTTTGATAACATGTTCTATTTTTATCCCAAGAATGAGAATTTCGTTTGATAACACAACAAATGATATAATAAAAAATAATTCTTATTAAACATAAAAAGTTTTGGGATCATCACTTTCCTTTTTATATGGTGATGGTGGCGGCGGCGGAGGTGGCGTGGTGGTGGTAATGGTGGTGGTGGTGGTGACGGCAGTGGCTGCGGTGGTGGTGGTGGTAATGGTGTTGATGGTGGTTGCATAGTCGTGGTGGCCACGGCGGTGGTAGTTGTGGCGATGGTGGTGGTGACGACAATGGCTACGACGATGGCGATGGTGGCGGCAGTGGTGGTGACGGTGAAGGTAGAGGTAGAGGTAGTGGTGGTGGCATGGTGGTGGTGATGACAGTTGTTGCGGCAGCGGTGGTGGTAATGGTGGCGATGGTGGTGGTGGTTGGTGGCGGTAATGGTGGTGGTGACATGGTAGTGGTAGTGACGGCAGTGGCTGCAACAGCGGTGGTGGTAATGGTGGCATAGTAGTGGTGGAGGTGGCGGTGGTGGTAACGACAGTGGCTGCGACGATGGTGGTGGTGGCAGTGGTTGCGGTGGTGGCGATGGCGTGGTAATGGTGGTGACGACAGTGGATGCGACATTGATGGCGGTGGTTGGTGGTGGCGGTGATGGCTTGGTGGTGGTGGTGACAACAGTGGCTATGACGATGGTAGTGGTGGTTGGTGACGGTGGTGGTGATGGTAGTGGTGGTGGTAGTGGTAGCGATGGTGGTGGCGATGGCGGCAGTGGCTGCAATGATGATGATGGTGGTTGGTGATGGTGGTGGTGACGATGATGATGGTGGTGGTGGTGGTGACGGTGGTAGTAGTGGTGGTGGTAATGTTGACATGGTGGTAGATATAGATGGAGGCGGTGGTGATGGTGGGAGTGGCATCATGGTAGTGGTGGCGGTGTTGATGACGATGGTGGTGGTGGTCGTGTTGGAATGATGGTGGTGGTGATGATGGTAGAGGTGGAGAGTGATTGAAAAAGACACGTGTTTCTCATTTTGTGTTCGGGAACAAAAAAACAGAATTTTTTTGATTCTTTTTTCTGTTCCCCAGCACAAAAATTAAATCGGTTCATCCCGAGAACAAAAAAATAAACCAGTTTTACCAAACGAGTTTCCTATCCATTTTTGTTCTCGGGAACAGAAATTAAAAGAACTGATTCCGGGAAGGTTGTCATGTGCACCCTATATCTGCTCGCTGGAGCGAGCAGAGAAGGGCAGATCACACATATCGTAGTAAAACACTCATATCTTGAGCTATAGAGATCCAAATTAAGTGAAAATTGATCCTATGTAAAGCTTACTCAAAGATCCCAAATCATATAAAATATTAGGACCTATGGATAACTGGATAACTCATGGTTCTATTTTAAAGTCATTGCCTTAATTTTGGAAGTATGCTTTTAAGCAATTATTTTGTGAGTTGCATAACTCTAGCTATACCCAACCAATTAACTCATACTATACCTTGTTAAAAAGCTTGATATGTCTAGTTTAACATAGTATTATATTATAATTTATGGTGAAGACATGTAATCCCAGTTTGGGAATTTCTATTGGTTGTTTAGTGCTTAATATGACGATAGGGTCTATCTCTTTTGATTGTCCTTCAATGGAAGGACTTGTGGACTCTATTGCACCATTAGTTGAGTTTAATATCATGTTAAGGAAAGGAAAAAATTTACTCATATTTCGTAATTGAATAATGGACAAAGTAAGCTACTTTATTATTGATTTCTTAATTATTAATGTTGTGTTTAATACCATAATTAATGTTAATACACCTGGTGCATACAAGGTGTTACAATGTCTCAACAAATAGCAATCCCCCAAGTATGCACAAGACATCGTGATCCTCATATCAACTAAGTGCTTGTGCAAGAAAACAAGGATGAGAAATGAATCATCCAACTATCTGCTATATGGCACAACCCCCACATGCTCCCAAATCAAGGCCCACCAATCAATACCACCAGTCTTGACTCTGACTAGTTCACCATATGCGGGAAGACCTACCAAAAGGTGTATATCCTCCAAAGTAATAGTCACCTTGTCATATGGCATATGAACGTCTGTGTCTTTGGTCACCATCGCTCCACGAGGGCAATGACCAATGCATGAACAATTTGAAACACACTATAAAACATGTTTTAAAAGATATTAAAGTAATGATAATATCAATTAATTATACACGTCTCATGGTTTTGAAGACGTGCCACATATAAAAAATCATCTTGCCTCATGTACTCGTGAATGTTATTTGGTAAGTGAGGATGATCGTGGGACGCAGCTCCTCTAACGTTGATTATACGACCATTAACACCATTCCTCATATGGTTTGAAACATGTGTTCACTACAAAAATTCAGGTGTTTTGTGGAGGTCATATTTTCATATTGTGGAGGTCTTTGACCCCCACAAAAGACATTTGTGGCATTCATCCAAACCCTCAGTTCTGCCCTCGCCATAACATAGTTTGTGGGGGTTTTGTGTGCAGTGACACAATTTGTTAAAGTATTTTCTGGAGGTTCAAGACCCCCACAAATATTGCACTTTTTGGAGATTTAAGACCCCCACAAATGTTGTATTATTTATGAAGATTTAGTAACCTCCATAATATGTTTGACTTTCTGTCACTCATAGACCCCCACAACATTTATCACTTCTTGGAGGGCATAGACCTCCACAATATTTTTATAATATTTAAAAAAAATAAAAAATGAGCTTACGAGAAATGATTTTATTTGAATAATAAAAGACATCCATTTCAAGTATAAATTTATTTGTTATTTGAAAAAAAATTGTACTTTAAATCTTGTAGGTTCCCATTCAAAAGGTTACAAAGCCCTACAGATGCTGTAGTTGAACGCTTAAATATTAAGCTTTAAAACTGCGTCACGATATTGTTTTTAGCGAACATCTATTTTGGTAGCTGGAAACTCACACAAGTGAATATTTAGAAAGCTGTACAAAGTAACTAGTTCCCAGCCACCAACTAAACAACAAATCCCAACAAAGGAAAAAGCACCCCTACAGGAGGCTGCGTCTCATTAACAACTCATCAACCATGACATGGTTGAAGCAACAAAATTGGTTTTATGGAGAATGGCTATCATCCAGCAATTGAAACAGATATGATGAAACCTGCACAATGAAAGAGTAAAAATCAATTACTAAAATTACAAATCAAAATAACGGTAAAAAAGAATTTAAGAACTGCTTTAAGAACTTGATAAACATTCACTACCACAGAGCATTGTCAGTCTTATAATTGCTACATGCAAATATGCAACTACAATAGTAAATAATTAGAATTTAAGAAAATAATTTGTAAAATACCTTTGGCATTTCAAAAGCTATAATCTCAATTTCCCATTGAATATGAGTACCCTCAGGGATATTTCATCACAAGCTATAAGCTCAAATTCAAAGTATTTTTTACTTTGACCGCATGGTCATGCTTCTCATGCCTCAGGCCGAGTATGTTAATACCTCAAAAATTGGAAACAAGCAAGACAGACAATTGGTACATTGCCTGAAAAATTCAAATTATTATTGATGATTGAGTTAGAGACAAAAGAAAAAGTATGCATTCTTAGCAGGAATGGTGAAGCAAGATACTGTATTTTCTAAATCCTTTAGTTGGTCGTTCCTGGGTAAGCCAAATAATAAACAAATCCCTGCCGACTAGAATGACAATATGGGTCCTCAAGGTAGGATAAATTTTTAGCTCTCCTATATACTACACATATTTAAATTGTAATACTACACATGAATTTATGTCGCATGAAAACATAAGTAAGAAAATAAATATCTAATAAAACATGATAATAAATTCATAACAAGCTCTAAATTCAAAGTTCATAATCAAAGTAGTTGTGCAGCAGCCCTAAAAATCAAATTCCTTAATGAAAAGAGGTAAAATCCTAGATTACACAATACTGAACAAAGCACGAATACTGAATGAAAACAGAGCATGCACAAGTAAACAGAAAACAGGAAACTGATGCAGGAACCATGCAAATAAAGCAGGTAATAAGAATAGAACAGTAATTAAAGAAACACGTTTAGTGATACAAAGTATAGAATGTGGAAAAAAGAAAGTTGAAAAAAGTCCCCTCAAGGCATGAGTTCACTATAGGAGCTATGCCTCATCTAGCAAGAGGTGTTAGGCCATTAGCCCCTTCCCTCGCCTTGCCTTGCCTTAGCTCCTTAGGTATGCCTCTTGGCATGTTTAACTACACTATTTTTACACTCTTTTCATATAAAAGAATAAAATTCAGTTTTCCATTATGAGAGTTCATTTATAAGTGGCAAAATCTTAATTAAAACCCACCAATACTTATTATGTGCTAAGAGTTGGTTAAAATATGCAGCAAGTACTAGAGATCCCCTTATAATATTAGGCAGAAAGTTTGCCTGTAATAACATGTCCTTGTTTGATGGACCATCAACAGTCTTCTGAGTAGCTGATTCATCACAAAAAGTAGATAATGAATACCATGTTAATTTGAAAAATGATAATAGATCGATTCAATATAATATAGCTAAACCACGAACCTGTGACGGTGCGAACAGTGGTCATAAGACCCTCGACAATTCCAAATCGGTCATTGATAACATGTGAAAAATAAGTTTAATAAAAAAATTGAAAAAAAGAAAATTTAAAATACTAACAAAAATGTTACGAGGGATATCAACACAAAAATACCTTGGCGAGGGGAGCAAGGCAATTGGTAGTGCAGCTAGCATTGAAAACAATGTGAAGGTCTGGTTTGTATTCCTTCTTGTTAACACCAACAACAAACACGGGTGCATCCTTGCTAGGGGCAGAAATGACAACCTTCTTGGCACCACCCTAATCACAACCAAACAATTTATACCCATCATAAATCATTGAATAACATTTATTCATACACATCTAATTAAGTTTTAACTTCTTTTTTTATAAATTAAGGAGTCAATTAACCTAAAGAAGATACACCCTTTGGCGTGCTTGATAGCAGCAATGTATAAATAACAATCAATGACATATAACTAGAAAGAAAAATCATCATCATGAGAGAATGAATGTACATGATGAATGGCTAATTCCCCTTGCCATGACAATGAACATAATGACAGGGGTGCCTCCAGCCCTAGAACAAAGCGAAAAAATGAAATAATTTTATTTTATTTCATTGTTAGGGCGAAGACCATAGAATAAAAGCGAAATAAAATTAAGTTTGATTTCAGAGTGTTACCAACACTACAGGACCATCTTGCTTTGCCCTGTACAACACCCAAAACCAGGCAAAAAATAAAAAATAAAATAAAATTATAAAATTACAAAATAGAAAAGTAGTAAAATGGATGAAATTGGGGTGTAGAATAGAAATGGAATCAAACCACATGAAAGAACACAAGCCCTAGCCGGTGAGAGCGTGCCAGTGCTTTGGGTGATGAATGATTAAACCTTTGTCGATTGTGCCCTCACCATGTCCATGCCCTACACCCATCTCTCGAGAGATCACTCAAAACTGAAAATTAGAATCACGCATTGAGCAGTAAACCATTTTATAATTAACTGTGATTATAACACTGGTGAAAACAATCGAACGATGGTGAGAAGATTAAATATAATCGGTTCAAATAACATTGATCTGATAAAAAATAATAAAACCATAAATTAAACAACAAAACAAAGGAAATCAGATAACGGAGAACTCACGCAAATTAAGAATTGAAATCAGCGACGGTGAGAAGAACAAGGGCCAAGTTGGAGCAATTTTGAATTTGAAACATGAACTTGAAAATCTTGAATCTGAAAAAAAGAAGAGATGTAAAATTCAAAAGCCAAGTAGTAAACATAATGAGAAATTGAAGCTGACTGAGTTACCATAATCAATCCAATGACTATAGGTTTAGAAGCATATGAGAATGAAGCTCTCTGTCAAGAGAGAAATATGATATGTAATGCTAAGGTGTGAATAAGGGGAGGAGATGTTGTAGCGGCTCAGTGTTGAGTTAGTTCATTTATTATAATTTAAAACTAGATGTTGTAAATCTAGTATACAACAATTTTTTTTTTTCTAAAATAGAGATATAATTTTTTTAAAACTCTTTGTTATGTTTCATAATATGTAGAAAGTAAATATATAAAAAATAGATTGTATATTCTTAAGTAATTTAAAATAGAAAAACATAGTATCAAATTGTGGAGGTTTAAAACCTGCCAAAAATTAAATCATTTGTTGGAGGTTTTCTTGACCTCCACTAAAACACCTCCAATAATCACCCTTTTTTGTAGTGGTTGTCTTGTGATGTCAGAACAATTATCTTACTCGGTCCAGGGTCAATTTGGCTTCGTGGAAATTGTGGGGGTAATTGGTGAAAAGACCTACCAGGAGATTGAGGGGGAGATCAAGAAGGGGATGCCATGTTCCTAATTCACGATTACTAATAAATTAATCACAACACATATTAATAAACTAAATACAAATCAAATTACAAATTAGTTCATGCATTAATTATACATTAATTATTTACACTATCATAGTAATTATACACATTAATTAATTATTATATTACTAATTATTTAATAATATACACATAACCTATACAAATTAATTTACACACTAATTAATTATTGTTTTATAATTAACAATGCACACATAACCTAGTTAATTAAATTAATGTGCTACACTACCCACAATTAATATATTAAACTAAAAAATTTATAGAGAATGATTAGAAACTTACTTGGTATAGAGCTTTTGAGAGAATATAGAGAGAAGTCATAGATAGAGAAGAGTATTGTAGAAATAAGGGAGTGAACATAATTTGTAAAAGAATGAAGATATATATAAGGGTGGGGATGGATGACTACGATTTCATCACGTGGTGCAAGATTGAAAGACCTGATGTAAGATACAGCAGGTCCTAAATTCGTTAGGCTGACAATAGGACAAAATAAATCTTAGGGGGTGTATTAGATTGAGATTTCAAACGATTTTAATGAATTGTTTTCGGACAAAAAATTCCATTGGTATTCGATTAGGATTTTAAAGGACTGAAAAAAAGTCACATGGTATTCGATTAGGATTTTAAAAGATTAATTTAGAGTTCATCCAAATTCGTTGGTATTCAATCAGAATTTTAAACAAAGGAAAACAATCTTGTGGTATTCAAAAATCTAACGATTTTAATGGATTTTCTATTGGTGTGGATTTCGTGAGACTTTTTAGTGAAAAATATAAATAGGATGCCTCTCTCACAATCTCACCCTAACAGACTTTAAAAGATTTGGATTAACATTTTAAAAGACTTTTTTGAGATAAAAAATCCTACAGATTTTAAAAGACATTTTAGAATTGGAGAGACTTTATAGACTTTTTTAAAAGACTTTTTTTACAATCAAGATTTCATAGGATTGGATTTTAAAAGATTTTAATAGAATTCATAAGATTTGAAAGGACAATATGGATTTATAAGATTTTAAAAAATTATATGAATTTTTAACAAATATTCAAAATTACAAGAGTCAATAACAACAAATAACAAAGAAATGCAATGATTTAATAAAAAAAAGTAAACTTAACAGCAGGTTGAAAATTATCTCAAAAATTACTAATATAATCTAATATAATTTTTTCAATGAGTTTGAATTTGATTTGCGAAAATAATAACCATTGATTGACGGAAATCAACGGTTAAGATATGGCTGTAAACAAAAATAGGTTGTAAGTATAATATTCTCCGTAAAAAAATAACAAAGAAATGCAATGAAATTAATAAAAAAAAAGTAAAACCTAATATAATTTTCTCAATCAATAAAACATAATATAATTTTTAACAAACATTCAAAATTACTAAACAACAGTTTTTCACATATCTAATGGGTTGAAAATTATTTTCTACATTTGGTATCAAAGTTATGCATATATGATTATAAGATCCAGTTTTTTAATTATAAAAATAATTCTAAATTTGCATATAGAACCTAAAGTTCATGATAAAATTTCGTTTGTAATTTGTTGCAATTGATCTTGAAAATCTTGGGGTTTTTATTTTACGTGATGAGAATTTTCTAATCATATATCATATGCATATTTTCATTGAATATTCTAAGAAAATTTTGAATCTAGAATTTTGGGTTTAATTACAGGAAAGTTTAGAAAATTTCTTAAAATTTTTTCAGTCGATACATTGAAACCTTAAATTGCTTTGGGGCTTTTGAGAAACAAGTTTTTAGTTATCTATTGACACACAAATTGTTTGAAATCGTTTCCTATAGTGAAGGAATTTCGTTCATGAATGTATTGTTACGAAATATAGGGTTCATATTATGAAAGTTTCAATCTTTCTTTAAATTGATATTGTTTCATTGATGTAAAACAAAAATTGGTTTGAGGGTTTTAGTTCTCCTGTTATCTTTTCACTGTTTTTATTTTTAATACAAAAATCACACTTTTTGTGCTGAGAAAAATCGCGACCCATAGCTTGAAAAAACACTTTTTAAACTTTCAAAATTTCTCAAAAATGGCTCAAAAATATGTTATTTTTGAGATAGATTATATTAAAATCTCGTTGGTTTGTTGTTTCTGGGTTGTTTTGTGATGAAAATGCCTAAAAAATATGCTTTTTTTTAGTTTTGATGAAGCTCCCATGACGGAACCCAATTTCGAGCAGTCAACCTGCCAAAGGAAGAAGAAAACACTGCAATAGAAGAATCTCAAGAAATCCTAGGGGTTAGGGTGAGATTGTGAGAGAGACATCCTATTTATATTTTTCACTAAAAAGTCTCACGAAATCCACATCAATAGGAAATCCATTAAAATCGTCGTATTTTTGAATACCACGAGATTGTGATTTCATTGTTTAAAATACTGATTGAATACCAACGGATTTGGACGGATTCTAAAGTAATCCTTTAAAATTCTAATCGAATACCACATGACTTTTTTTCAGTCCATTAAAATCCTAATCGAATACCAACGGATTTTTTTGTTCAAAAACAATCCATTAAAATCCTTTGAAATCCAAATCCAATACACCTCCTAACCCTTAGAATTTCTTGAGATTTTTCTATTGTAGTGTTTTCTTCTTTCTTTGATGGGTTGACCCGCTCAAAACCAGGTTTCGCCATGGGAGCTTCGTCAAAGCTCAAAAATAACAGATCTTTGAGCGATTTTCATCACAAAATAATCCAGAAAAAACAAACCAACAAGATTCTAAATATAATCCATCTCAAAAACAACATATTTTTGAGAGCTTTTGGAAGTTTAAAAAATGATTTTTTCAAGCTATGGGTCGCAATTTTTCTTGGCACAAAAATGTATGATTTTTGTATTAAAAATAACATAAAACCCTCAAACCAATTTTCATTTTACATCAATGAAACAAGATCAATTTAAAGAAAGGTTGAACCTTTAATAATATAAACCCTATATTTCGTAACAATACATTCATGAACGAAATTCCTTCACTATAGGAAATGATTTCAAACAATTTTTGTATCAATAGATAACTAAAAACTTAATTTTCAAAAGCCCAAAAACAATTTAACGAGTACTCAGAAATTCAAGTTTTAATGTATCGATTGAAAATAATTTGAGAAATTTTCTAAACTTTTATGTAATAAAAGCCAGAAATTCAGATGCGAAATTTTTTTAGAATACTCAATGAAAACATGCATATGATATATGGTTAGAAAACTCTCACGTAAAACAAAAACTCCAAGGTTTCCAAGATCAATTGCAAAAAATTCGAAATGAAATTTTATCATCAATTTAGGTTCTATATGTAAATTTAGAACTATTTTAATAAATAAATAAAAATTGGGTCTTATAATAATATATGCATAGCTCTGATACAAAATGAAGAAGATAATTTTTAACTCATTGGTCAAACCCAAGAGCATGAACAAGAAAATGCTAATGCATGGAGGACTAGTATAATTTTAGATATGTGGAGAGTTGTTGCTAAGTAATTTTAAATGTTTGTTAAAAATTATATTATGTTTTATTGATTGAGAAAATTATATTAGGTTTTACTTTTTTTACTAATATCATTGCATTTCTTTGTTTTTTTATTGACTCTTGTAATTTTGAATGTTTGTTAAAAATTCATATGGTTTTATAGAATCTTATAAATTCATATTGTTCTTTTAAATTTTATAAATTCTATTAAAATTCTTTTAAATCCAATCTTGTGAAATCTTGATTGTAAAAATTTTCTTTTAAAAAAGTCTTTAAATTCCATCCAATTCTAAATAATCTTTTGAAATTTATAAGATTTTTTATCTCAAAAAAATATTTCAAAATCTTAATCCAATACACCCTCTCAGACGCTACACACATTACGAAAAGTGCCCCACTGAGGCAAATAGCAAGACTTTGTCCATGGTATTTTGGCAAAAACTTTCGAAAACGTGATCTTTGTATAATTATTACATTACAAAAACATGATATTGCGGTCGTTGTTCTGAATAGTTCAATCATTAATCCACTCAATGCATTAGTATCGTCGACTGGTTGTGCCCTAAGAAGTAAGAACTACTTGATATGTTAGAAGAACAGATCTCATTTTATATAATGGACGCCTGTTCCAAATCTTGTATTTATAAGTTTTTTTGTATGTTTTTTTATTAATAATTGTAAAAGTACTATTTTACTTTTACTTTATTTTTAATTTTTTTTAAAAGTAATAACAATAATAAGAAGAAGAAGAATGATAGGGTCGAGTTACTAAAAAGAGAGTGTGAACTAGGCCGAGTCCACTTGAAGCTTTAACTTAATAGGGGGTACAAGCCTACACAGCTTGAGTTTAGCGATTCCTTTACTTGAGTGCAGATCCTTAACTATGGAAAATTTTAATCTACACTCGCTCCACTAAATTTTTTGTGTTCCTTTACCTTTTTTGATAAAAAAAAATACTATTAACCCCTATCTTTTCTTATATTTCTCTCACAATCCTTTTTATTTTCCGTTTTTGGCCGAGAGCATCATACTCCCGGACCATCAAATAATCGCTTTAACTATAGGCATAACTCATAAGGAGCCGCAGGTGCCGCTATTAATTAATCATAAACAGTTTTAGGGGTCTATATAATTTATAATAATTAGAAGTCATGTGTTATTAATATTTTTTATTTCCTAATAGTTCACGCGCCTACTAGCAATTTAAAGCATTACCGTCAAACACAAGAATGAATATTATTATCAAGAAACTGTGTTACTGTTATATTTTTGTTTGAGTAAATATCTTTTTTGTCATCGGTAAATTTTCGATGCCCGTTTTAGTTCCTAGTAAATAAAAAGGCCCATCGTGTTTTTAAGAAATTCAAAATGGACTTTTTGAGGGATTAATATAGGTCTTTTTTGAATTTGTGAGGATCACAATTTCAACTAAATGTATCCATTTTGAATTTCTTAGAGACCACGATGAGCCTTTTTATTTGCTAGGGACTAAAGCGGAGAACATAAAATTTGCTGAGGACCAAAAATGATGTTTACTCTTTTTCTTTATAATTTGTGACAACAATATAGATTTTTATTTTTATTTTTATGAATAAAACAAATAATGTAGAAACAACCAATCCCTTAATTGGTTAGCAATATCCAAACGGTGACAAATAAATAATTACTCACTTGATTAACAACTAGAAATAATAGTTAATTCTTATATAAAACACTTTCACTATAGCTATATATATTTTTTATGACATGTTTTCATAAAAGTCTTTATTTTGTTTACAAGAAAGGACAAGAGCACGTGCAAATAGAATTCTAGTTCACCACCCTACAGTTTTTCCTTATCTCCCCTTGTTGTCCTGTAAGTACACCTATAAGGCTCATCTTCTCAAGAGATGCTGCAAAGTCCTGGTAAAACTGACCAGGGTATTCACTATAATTAATGACCAATGAAGCAGTCATGGCATCATGCATAAGAGCCTGATCTGTCTGCAGTAGCCCTGAATTCTTCACAAGGTTTCTGTAATACATGTTATCAAATATGTAGGAAGTGAAGGAATCCAAAGGAGCCAGATTGGTATCATGATAATTATCTGGGCATAGTTTCTGTAAATATTGTAGAAGTGAAGAATCAAGTGATGGATCGGGTTTACCAGTGCTATTAAAGTTGAAGAGCCTTTGCTTGAATGTAAAGCATTGGGCAAACCCAATAGTGTGGGCTCCTGCATTGATCACACAGACATAAACTTGAGAATTGTACACTTATCTTATTAGTAGCATTTTAGGCCTAGTGATAGCTACTTTATAACTTAGATTAGAAGAAAATTTATTCCCCTTTTCCTATTCAAGTTTGATTGGGGGAAGGGAAGTGAAAGAGAGGACATAACTCTGGCTAACATCTTATGTTTTACAAAAATTATTGTACCATTTGAGTCCATGGTTCTTCAATATGACTTATTTGCCATTTTACAGTTATATATGGTTGAGATGGAAAATAGAAATACATGAAGTGGTTTAACTTTGTCAAAACTTATCAATATTTAGAAGTAGCACTTTTCCTATTGCTGGTAAATCAAAGTTACCAAGCTATAAAAGACTCCTAAATTATTAAACCTGATAAGTGAAGGAAGCAAACCTGAGAGCACTACCACATCCTTAACTTCAAGACCCTTGGAAATGAACTTGGAGGTAATGTTTTGAAGGGTGTCAAAGGGTGAAGGAAGCTTATTAGCCTCACTTTCGCTTGCTGTTGTGCCATCTCTACGACCAAGGAGTGTAGGCCTCCAATATGGGAATGGTAATAAACTCTTGAGAAAATTAGAGAAAGTATTAATATTTTTGGTTCAAAGTATCTTTCGTAATATGTTAGTATTGATTTTTAATAACAAGGTAAAGAGATATCTTACAAGATTAACAGCTTCTCTTGCTGTTATAGCTAGTAAATCAGCACATGACACGGTGGATGGACAGACAAACTCTAATTTAGACTTAATTATGTCAATGAACTCAAATCCTCTTATTGAATTTCGATTAGGCTTTGCATTTTTCTCCCCCTTAAAGGTGCTGGTATCATCAAGTAGCACAGATCCATCACATCCCTGTGTAAACAATGATTAAAAGAAAGAAAGAAAAGAAAAGAAACACATTTGGTCAGTCTAATTAATCGAATTGATCAAAACATATTGTAGTTAGGGAAACTCAAGTTCAAACAAAAACTACAAATGAGGCAGCTTATTTACATTGACGAAACAATCATGGAAATGAAGGCGCAGGAGAGAAGCTGCAATCCTTGGTTCATTGGCCATAGCAAACTTGAGAGAGGTTTGAACAATAGGAGTGAGGAGTGGACAAGTTACTTCATAGAAATCATAACTAAGTTGACAGCATACTAGAGGACTAAGGAATATGAGTAAAATCAAAAGAACAGAATAATGCTTATTAGAGGTGCACTCCATAAGTTGAAATTCTAAAGCCAATAGGTAAGAACTCGATTACAATTGCTGTGTGACAATAAGTTGTAAAATGAATCAATTTATAGAAGAAGGAGGCACCTTTTTTTTAGAGGGTGGTAGTGGCAAGGTGATGCGTGATAACAATAAATACATCTCTCTAATAAAGAACATTCTTTGAGGCTGTAATGCACACTCAACAAGGTAGTAAGATACTAAGGAGAAGAACATTCAAAGTAGAAATTCTAAAAATATACTGAAAGTGAGCCTCATTTGAATGAATTCTGTGAATTTACCGTATGGTGGAATGTGTGTGTACACTCATGATAACAGCTAGCAAAACAAGAGGGAATTAATAAGCATGGCATTTTGTGGAAAACGACAAGATCTAATTCATCTAAAAGATACATGGGATTATCAACATTAACTAGAGAATGACGTGGTGGAACTAGAAGAAGATAAATTGGATTACACCAATAGACTTATGTGGCCTCGACACAGTACTGACACTAATATACGAAAACAAGATCCTCTCATTCCTTTGATTTCCGTGTGAATATAGCATAAAATGACTTTAAAATGCATGTAATTCCAGACATTATGCACTTTGCCAAGGAGTAACTCCTAATAAGTAACTGAGTGCAGCCACTGGCACTTGATGATCCTGTGTTTCAATCTCATCATGACTTGTCATATAATTTATTTATTTTTTCATTACACATCATAGAAGAGTTTTATATTTATTACAATACAAAAGAGTTATAATATTATTAGTAAACTATATGATGTAAGTGTAACATATTTAAAATAGAAAATTACCAATGCTGGAAATTTCCATCGCTCATTCATTCAGTGAGTCATTCTTTCTCTGATGGAATGTGACAAGTGAAGTGAGCCACTACAAAGCGAAAAAAGAATATAGAAATAAGCCATTATCAATTTCTGATGCCAAAAAATATCATCATCATTTATGATAATGATGGTAATATGTAGGAAGCAAATTCATAGTTGTGCTAACTCGTAAGACATTGTTATTAATTAGTGTATGACCAATAATGACTACACAACAAGTAGCGCACCTTATTCGCCAACTCGAAGCTCCACAGATTCAGACTTCAGAGAGAGGACCATAAAGCGTTACTTTATTTCGTGTTTAAGCACTGGACCAATTATCTCGCAGTTCTTACCTTGCATCATTATTTTCTTGTCTAATCATTTTTAGTATTTTTTTAAATGATTTTATTAATGTCATCTTAAAGGAGATAAGTTATCTCGTAACAAATTTGTGAGCTCTATCACCTAAACACAAAAAAGTGGCACAATTATCGAAAGATATGTAGGAAAGAAAACTTATCTCATGTAGCATGAGAATAATTTTTTTCTTTTTTTAATCAACCTTATCAAATGTCAAAGAGTAGTTTTTCTTTTTCTCTTTAGTTACAATGGTGGTAATTGGTATTAAGATTTGATCAAACAATCTCATGCAAACTGTCCAGGTAACACACTAACACCTAGAGGTGGCAAAGTAGGCGGTCAGCCCCGCCCCGCCCCACCCGATCATCAACTCGCCAAAAAATGAGTTAGCCCGCCCCGCCTCGCTTTTGAAAGTGGACTCAAAAACTCAACCCGCCCCGCCCCGCCCCGTTTGGCGGGTTGGGTGAGTTGGCCCTCCAACGCGAGTATATTTTACACTGACCCGCTTCAGCCCGCCAAAAAATGAGCCCAACCTGCCCCGCCCTGCTTTTGAGATAAGTTGAAAAACTCAGCCCCCCGTTTAGCGGGTTGGATGGGTTGGCCCGCCGAGCCGAGCCCGTTTTGCCGGCTCTACTAACACCCCAATCCTAATTACTTAAACAGATTTTTTTCTTCCAAATAAATCTCCAAATTCAGCATTAAAAGATATGATGGTAACATATGATGCACAGACACGGACACGAGACACGACACGATACGACACACCGGCACATTAATTTAAAAAAATGTTAATTTTCGACACGTTAGGACACGTTTTGATATTAAATAATAATTTTAATATATGTGATATAGTTTTTTATATAATACACTCATCAAATACACAAGAAAGTATAAAAACATAAAAGTGGAACAATCTCTCTCGTGGCTGACATTTTACCTTCATTATTTTTTGTTTTTTTTTTAATATCCCAATCTTTCTTGTGGCTGACATTTTACCTCTATTATTTTAATATCCAATTTTTTTGGTTTTAGACACAGAGATAGAAGCTACACGTATAGCCCAGCTCAAATCTCTCCTTTTGTCTTCCACTTTACTGAGTTACTCTTTCACTCTGCCATTTTCTTTGTTGAACAACTTTTCTCTCTTTCATAGTCATACTCACATCCACCCTTCTCATTTCTCTTCTCAATCACACTAAATGGACTCTAGCCACCACATATCTTGAGTTAATGGGTTTAGAAGCTAGCAAAAAACCACCACCCTCTTCAACAAGAACGATGAAGAACAACGGGAGGAAGAAGGTTGAAGCAGACGGCTATGGAGACGGAGCTGTGTTTGTGTCTGTCTGTTTTTTTTTTTTAGAATTATTTTAATTTTATAAAAATTTCAAAAAATTTACATTTTTGCCCTTTGACCGTGTCCGATTCGGTCAAATTCGTGTGTCCAAATAGTCAATGTGTACTGAAATATTGACCGCGTGTCGGACGCGTGTCGGAGCGTGTCGAAGCGTGTCCGTGTCGGACACGTATTTTTTTTAAAAAACTGCCGAGTCCGTGCTTCAGAGATGGTAACAATGTAATTAAACTCAGATTGATCATCGATTCGGTTGGAATAATGGGTTAATAAGTCACCGATTTAACTATTGAGTCATTGATGTAATTACCAGTTGAATTAAATATACACACGTATATAATAATAATGGAAAACATTATTTTCACCAATTGTAGTTTTGTGATTTATCATTTGATTCTCTGTGATTTTAAATTTATTACTTAAATCTATTGTGCTTAAACAATTTATTATTTAACCCCTCGTGGTTTCATATATTCACTTAGACACCTTGTGGTTAGAAATTTTTTTATTTAAATCTCTTGTGGTTACAAAAATAAAATTTTTAAAAAATAAATTTTTTAAAATAAATTTTCCCGCTTTTTTATTTTATATCCTCACCTAATGCATTTAGGGTTTAAAAAATAAAAATAAAAATATGAAAAAATTCACTTATTTTTATCAAGAAAATAAATTCAATCAAATATTATTTTATTTTATCTATTTTTTACCCAATATCGTTATAAAATTATCTAAAGAAAATAAATATCTTATTTTGATAATACATATTTAAATTATCTTAAATAATATTTTTTAATTTCAAATATATTTTTAAAATAAATAAAAAAATTAAGATAATTTATAAATTAATTTCAGAATAAATAACTTGAAATATTTTTTAAACCCTAAATGCATTACATGAGGATATAAAATAAAAATGAGAGAATTTTATTTTTTAAACCACAAGGGGTCAAAGTGAAATTTTTTGTAACCACAAGGGGTCTAAGAGAAAATTTGAAACCTTAAGGGTTAAATGATAAATTATTTCAACATAATGAGTTTAAGTGATAAGTTTAAAATCACATGAGGTCAAATGATAAATTTCAAAACCACAGTGAGTGAAAATAAAGTTTTCTCTAATAATAATAATAAATATAAAATTAGAAATATGATAACCAACGTATAAAGTTGGTCTAGTGGTAGTTCAACTCCCAACCCTAGCACTTTTCAACTATTTTACCCATAAATCTAATCAGTGTCAGTTTGATAACAGTTCATTAGTGGTTCACCGGTTTAATACTTGGTTAAGTGCATGACCAATCTAATACTTTCGCTGAACAGGTTGGGAGTCCGATTTTTAGGATAACCAATCGGACCGGTCAATTCGATCCGGGTATTCATAACACTAGATGGTAAACACATTAGTTTTTCAACGAGCAATTTCTTACTTTTAGCCAATAGTTTTGGTAACTCCACAAAAGTCACCTAAAATTATTTTGGGGGTGAATATTTCAAACAGAAAACTTATTTTACAAAAAAATGAAAGAAGAAAGCCTCATTGATACTGATATAGCCTTTTTAAACAAAGAGAGCAGGAAAGAGGGGCATCAAATACACTTCTGAAAAGGCATCAACAATTTATTGTTCCATTCTAGGGGCATTAACATGGTAGCAATTCCTGTGGGAGTATAATTTTTCATAATCCAAAGCTTAAGATTTTGAGAGTCATTGTTACAAGTACAACACATCTGGAGTCAACTGAAAGTGCTAACATAGGCAACCAAATCAGAATTCCCATGAAAGCGAGAGCGACGCATTCTAATAATAACTACATAATCTTGATTTCATCCTAATGTAGATGGAGGTAGAAAACTAGAAATATGCACTTTAGAATGTTAATTGCTGCAGCTCTAAGTCAGTATAATAATATTATACAAAAACTGCTGCTAGATTCTCATGCAGCATAACTTACAAACTGAAGAAGCTCTTCACTTTCATCAATGATAAACTTGGGAAAGAACCTATGACGGCAACAGCTGCAAGTCACCTACAAGAGTGTCCATGTAAACTATAGTACAAAAATGGGCCTCACTCACTGGCATAAATAATGAAAACTTCCCACAGCGCAGTCATTTGGAAATACCATTTTTTCTTTTGACAGTCACAGAAAATCAATCACAAGTTATTGGACCGTATGTGTTGCAACTTGCAAACTAATATACAGTGTAGGAAGTGCTTCAAGAGTAGAGGGAAGAAATAGAGTACTGTGATGCCACTGCTAAGTTACACGTTGTGAGATGGTTGCCCAATTTCAGCATAGAAAAAGAATGGTGCATATAGATTGAGCAATAGGTCATGCAAGGCTAAAATATACAAGACCGAGAAGAGGAGGAGTCATTGGTCCCAATATGCATGGAGAATATCTAAAGAAGGAACGAGAAATCCTCATCTCACAGCGGCTTTCCCATTTGCTATCTTTGCA